CCCCCCCCCCGAAATTTTCAACCCCTCCCAAAAAAAATTTCTGGCTACAGACCTGACTGCACATTCCTATTTGCCATAATTCTTGTAAACTGTAAGCCACTTCATCAGATCCATTACTCCTTAGAAAATAATGTATCAGAGCTAATGAATAGCATTAGAGTCTGAATGAAGATATCCAAATCTTAACAGACTTTTGTGTTTAAACCTGTGTACAGTTTTTATAGAAACAGAAAAAAATATCATAGCCAGATACCCATTCACACCACAGGAAAAAAACTCTCCATTTTATGGAGGCAGTCTATAGTGAGAATGGGTCCTGGGGTGTAACAGTTGGGAAGCAAAATGAAAATCTAGGGCACTCCCAGACAGTAGAAAATTCCACTTCAAAACGGCTTTAAAAACCCTGGGTCAGGACAGACTGTAGTCTGCACACTGCCAAAGAGGCTTGTGCTTTACATAGGAGTTGTCTACATGTTCTCCTGGTACCTACCAGGAGAACAGGGAGACAACCGCCACCCCCTCCCAAAATCCCTTTAAAAAGTGATAAAAAGTTAATTATTTATGGGGCCAACATTTCCCTTCTGCTGACCCTCTCCTGGTGCTTAGGAATGATGTGCCAGGAGAAGGGGGAGGAGAGGGTCGGCAGAATGGAAATGTCAGCCCCGTAAGTCATTTTCTTTTTTAAACACTTTTTTTAATGGATTTGGGGAGGGGATTAGAGACCTCTCACGTTTCCCAGGTCTGATTCAGCCCAGAAAATGTTTAACACAATACTGCTGTCTGAACTGCCCTCTCAAAATTCCAGGACTTCAGAAGGGGCAGTCCAGACAGCAGTCATAGTGGGTTTGCCCCACGCATTCCAAGAAAGTGTAGAACAAACCAACTAACAAATAATCTTGCCATGAAGCAGTTTTCCTGCTTTGTGGCAAATGCAATCTCTTTTCTGTGGGACATCATCTGGACCCCCCACTTTAAAATGCAGGAGCTCCTGCTCTTAAAGGGCTGTCTGGATGTGCCCCTTGTCCTCAAGCAAGGATTTTGCCCCTCCAAATGAAATTTTCCTTCAGTCATTGAAGAAATGTAAAACTGTAGTCTAGAACTTAGATTATTAGTTTAGTCATTTAAAGAAAGAAGGTGAGCAACCTTCCAAAGGGAAATTAAAATACAAGATATGTATGACTTTGGGTTTCTCTGCAATGCTAAGAATTTGAGGAGTGAAGGAAAATATAATTTTGGAGGACAAAATTATTATTTGGGGGCACTGTCCTCATTCCCTCCATCCTCCGCCTCTTTCATCATCTCATGTCTTATTTACTCAAATCATTGGTGATATTGGTAGATTTATGAGTGATTTGCAGTGAATCAGCAAGTGTTTCTGAGGATTAATCTAACATCTGCAACAAAGAACTCATCTATCACCATCATCCACCCCCCTCCCCCCTGACAAAATAGTAGGTGGCTGGAAATTAAACTTTGGGGAAAACCAGCAATTGATTTTTGGATTACACTAAACTAGTGAATTCAGTACTGATAATGATCACGATTTGTGGGCTGAGCAAACACCCAAAAAATCATTTTCATCATGGTTCTAGCCAAAAGCAAAGTAGATCCCATAAGTCTTCTATGGGGAAGGATAATTAGCCATTTAACACTCTATAATTATATTGCTTTGGGTGGTAACTATTAAAGATGGTATAGTAATATAATAATGTCAGCTGAATTATGTCAACTGAATGTCAGCTGAATTATGATTTTACATCAATTAATTAGACTAGTATCAGATATAAAGTATCAAAACAGTGTGATATTTTCAGCAACAAGATATTTGAAGAATTTTAACCTCAAATGTTACTTACTCATTCAGTCTGTCCTAGTTATTAAAGGTGAAGTGCGGCTATGTGCTCCAAGCTCTGATAGCATGCATGAGGTATCTTCTAAAGCAGTGTCTAGAACTGTGTAATTCATGAAGATAAAACTATCACACTAAACGTTATGTTTGTTCCTCTATCTCAGCCTGGGATTACTTATTTTTTGCTTTAGCGGTTATTGTGGCTTTTGAAAATTCACCACGTGTCAGCTCATCAATACCACAAATCAAGGCACAAAAAAAATCAGCAATGCAAGAAGAGAATGTGTAGCTGAAACTCACATGCACAAAACAACTTTCAGTTACAGTCCATTTTTCTGTCCCCTTTTGTGAAATTCATTTCTAGATTCTGTGTTATTACTGGTGAAAGGACATGTGGCAGAGTGATTTGAATGACAACTCTAGAGACAAAGGGTTTGTTCCTTGCTTGGCTATTGAAACACACTTGAGCAAATCATACATTATCAGCCCCAGAATACCCTGTGATAAGTTCATCTTAAGAGAGACGTAATTCAGAAACAGCTTGAAGGGAAATCATCAACATAACTTAATTGCTGATGCATGACATTAAATTTCTCTGGGCAAAAGACAGATTTTGATACATTAAAGTAGTTCATATAAATTATGTATCACTTAAGGTGCAGAAAATATTCAAAGAAATAAGATCTCAGGGTGGCTTTTTAAAAAAGACCACTACAGAATGACTTCTCTCTAACCTTGCTCTTTTATTTTCCCTTGCTCCATGCTCAAATGAACTGTCCATCTTTGAAATCAAGTCTAACTGCTTTGAGTGTTTCTGTGACCAAAGATTTATTTAAGGCAGCTACACTTTTAAAACTTAAAATGAAAAATGACTAAAAAAAAATGAGGCAAGTAGCTGTTTGGAAGAACGTATGGTCTGTTGAAAGCTTGGAGCAGGGAAGGAACTGATACARCCGGATCATCATGTTGGATTGCAAATCCCAGTAGCTCTAGCCAGCATAGGAATAATGCTGAAAGTTGCAGTATAGCAGCTGTAGAGCCATATTATACAATTTGTGTTTCAAAGGAAGTGGGGGGGGGGGGGGTGGCTGTCTTCTTGCAAGACTTATTTTACTCAAAATTGGTGAAGACAATTTCTAGGTATAGAATGCTGCAATTCTGTATCTAGAAATCCTAAACTTGAATGGATTTCTTTGTTGTTCTATGTAAAAATACACTGCTGATTTATAAGGATGGGTGTTCTGCTGTCAACAATTTGGAATCAGAAATATTTCCTCTTCTACTATAAATTGTCCTGAGATCTATCAGCAAAAGGTAGATATGCCTAGCATTTAATACTCACAATAATACCCTATTTCTTTATTCACTCCAAAATAGGTTCTACTGAGCACAGTGGGTCTTATACACTGCTAAATGTGCTGAGGATTACAACCTTAGGTTGTAATCTTGTACCTGCTCATTGGGGAGCAAGACAGATTGGCCATAAGTTGAACACATCGAGTCAAGATGCAAAAATGTGGGCTGTGATTGCTGCTCTACAATGAGGTCAAGAACAAGCAGCTTGCACATATGTGGCTCCTCAAAATTGCTGTTCCTGCATTCAGCTCCCTTGCGTCATGCCAACATTTTGGAGCACAATTGTGGTAAACTCAAACATTTTCCCTGCCAAAACAGGTTTTACATTAAAAATCAATATTTTTTCCACAGCATCGAATAATTTCTTTCATCCGCTCTTCTGTTCCAAATTGCAAATTGCAAATTGCAAAAACTGCTCAATAGAGCATCCTACTTGGAACTTCATCAGATCTGTGTGAGCTCTGATGACGCATCTTTCTTAAAACAGCAAAAGTCAAACCCATGACTAGCAGGTAATTTTTAAATTCAACCATGTACCCTTCTTTCCAGAAATCTGTGGCATCTCCTTTGGCAAAATAATAATAATAATAATAATAATAATAATAATAATAATAATAATTCAACATTCTAAAACAAGGAAGGCTGTATGCAAGAATAAAAAAAATAACAGACTCACTGAAACTTTCCCTTGGATTCCGTGAATTCTCCTCTTGCTGGTCTCCCTTACAGCCAAAGACCAACCTATATCAACTTATTTTGAGCATACTAGCCACGTTATGTACCCTTGAGTATTGATCCTTTCTATTTTCAAGTTAGTATTATATATCATCTGAAGCACTCCCATTTTCTTTGGAAGACATAAGTGCTCAAACTGAAAATATATGATAGTACAGAGAATTCTTGGCGTCCCCAGTGGTGCAGTGGGTTAAACCACTGAGCTGCTGAGCTTGTTGACCAAAAGGTCACAGGTTCAAACCCGGGGAGCGGCATGAGCTTCCGCCTTCAGCCCCTGCTTCTACCAACCTAGCAGTTTGAAAACTTGAGGTCAATAGGTACTGCTCTGATGGTAACAAGCTCCATGCAGGCATGCTGGCCACATGATCTTGGAAAGATGTCTACGGACAACCCCAGCTCTTTGGCTTAGAAATGGAGATGAGCACCAACCCCCAGAGTCAGACACGACTGGACTTAATGTCAGGGGAAAACCTTTACCTACAGAGAATTCTTATAAACAGCTGTGAAGTACAGGTCCCATTTAACTGTGACAAAAGACATAGTAACCAAGTGTTGTTAGATATACGGGAATTATGACTAACCAAGCACCAAGAATGGATAAAGAAAAGATCATTATAAATAGATGGAAGGTCTACTTCAACTGGGTGAAAAATGGAGGAGCCAACGATCACATCAAAGAAAAAATACGAAGACTCTACAAGTGGCTGGATCTGCAAGATTAGTAGAAATATACTGTGGTTGAGGAGGGAGGGAGAGGGAAGGAGGGAGGGAGAGGGAGGGAAGGTGGGGATACTATAATCTACACCACTGTAAATTAGCATAATGTCTTTAATATCTGTTGAATTACTCGGGATTTATATGTGTAACACTTGAAATTTAGCTTATTGATTTGTGTTTATAACACAATAAAATATGTTTTAAAAAAAGAAATGGTAAGCAATGGCTTCCGAGCCACGGAACATCTGCATTTACAAATTAAATGTCCTGTATAGTTTGATTTGGCAGATCTGTTTGTGAAAATGAATTTTAATAGCATGAAGCACTCCAATGGCGGTAGGAATTAATTTACTGCTGTGGAGAAGCTGCACCTCTCAAAATTTTATCATGAAGCTGCAACAGTGAAAGAACCAATCATGGCTGAGGAACCAATTATGTTTCGGATTCAGGAAGCATCTTTATCATCTACCCATTGGTTTTAAGAAATGTATTTTCTTGTCTTCTTATCAGAATTCCATCTTGGTTGTCAGTAAGATTTTCCAAGATGAGATAAGACCTCTGTCACATTTTAAAGAAAGTTAAGTCTTTTACAGAATTGCCTTCTTTCCCAAGAGCTGGAAACACTTAAAACAATATTTTTCATTGATATCAAAATATTAATTAAAGCTCTATTTTTTTCATGTCAGGAGCAACTTGAGAAACATCAAGTCGCTTCTGGTGTGAGAGAATTGGCTGTCTGTAAGGACGTTGCCTGGGGGACGCCCGGATGTTTTATCATCCTGTAGGAAGCTTCTCTCATGTGCCTGCATGAGAAGCTGGAGCTGATAGATGGGAGTTCACCCTACTCCCCGGATTTGAACTGCCTACCCTTTGGTCAGCAGTCCTGTCAAGGGTTTAACCCATTGTGCCACTGAGGGCTCCAGCACTAATTTTAAGCACCAAAGACTTTGGTTATCCTACTTGACCTAGCCTGGGGACCTTGTTAAAACATTAAATAAATTCCTGGCTCCTTCCCTGGCCCTTTTATAAGAGAAAAAACCCTAAACTTTAGAGATTGACATCTTTGGTAAAATTTCTGAATCATTTCCTTAATCCGAAACTGAAGTTTACAGGAGTAGGTTTCCCAAACTTCATGTTTGAATATGTTTGAACAGCCAAGGGACTAGATAGATATGAGAAATGAGGACAGGTGTAAACCAAATGTTATTTGAGTTCAGACTGTCCTCATTAATGGTGCTACAACAGATTTTTTTGTTTATTGTTACTCTGTTAGTTAATGTGGTTACAAAATCTTATCAGTCATCAGATTTCAGTACGTTTCCTCTCACCGTATACCTAGCAAGAAAATGATGTTGCTGAGAAATAGGTCATGGAACATGTAGCAGCTGTATTGCAAGATTTAAAAAATAGTGGGGAGGAGGGGAAAAATCTCTTTTGAGACAAAAATATTATCAACATAAAATAGTAAACTATGCTTCCTCAGAATCTTGTTCTACTTCAGTTGCAAAGATATGCATCCACGGTGGTTTTGTCCATACACAACTGTATGTTCCTGTGTTTTATTTAACTTGTACATTATAACATTGCTAATCTGACAGTTCTCTCTCAAACTCTAGCCATACTTTTAGAACTCCTTATCTCTGACAATGGGCAAACCATCAGTATTTGTTGAAATTACTATTTTATTGTGTAGGCTATTCAATGTTTCATACTTAATTTGTATAACAATCTTTCTGGTATTCTCATGATTCAACAATCCATTTGACTTTGGCTTTTTCTAATTTTGCTTAGTGCTACCACAGAACACACCCTAAATAAAATGTACATGGCAGCATTTGAGTTGCACTATTATCCCCCAGAACTCATATTTTGTACTATACCTGTAAATAAATTGCCTTTTAAAGTTCAAAATGGCATTTGTACTGTTTCATAAAATGGCCACCGGAAGAGGAAAGTTTCTCCAGCTGTTTCTCGCAGTAGCTCATTAGTCAGGTTTTTTGCAGTATCAATAGGCAACCCTGGCAGCTTATCAGTGTATATCTTACACAAAATCCTATACCTTTTCTGAGAGGTTGGTCTCCACCAAAAAGTTAGAAAAAATGGCACAAAGTCTGCAAGCTGTGTTTTGGTTCTAAGGGCTCATGAGAAGGGCAACTCTCAGATCTTTCTCAGACAAAATGTCATGAGAAATTTTGGATGAGTCTTAGCTATCATTATCCAAAGGTCAGTATCTTCCTTAAACTTTAAATTACTAACAGCTCCTTGAAACTACACCTTCTAACATGGACCACATCTAACAAATCTCCTTCTCTGCAAAGCCCAAAAATGTGTAAGACATAGGGTGATTCTGTATCCAGCTGTACAACAAAGAGCCAATTTAGCATCAGATTATTCCCATTTCTCATAGGCTTTCCTCCCACTAAACAGAGTTCCATTTTTGTGCCTCATTCTCTAGGGTTTTAAGAATTTATGGTGGTGATTTTTTTAATTACCTAATATTGGCAAGATGGTCAAGAGTGTTGATTGCAGCTCCACTCCCAAACTTTTACATATCTTTTCATTCCTATGCAGCCTGACTTCTCATACTTTTAATTTGGAATAATTTTACATATGTTTAGTTCATGTCTTCTGATGGCTATAATTAAAATGTGAAAAGTTGGGGAGTACTAGCTGGCAGAGAGATAATTCCACAATTAAAGACCAAGACAATTATAAAAAATGTTCACTTGCCTTTTAAACAATATGCGGGCACATGCAACAATTCTTCAGAATTTTTCTTCCCTTGGAAATGATTACCAGGAATTAAAATGCTACAACAGGTGTCAGCTTTTAAAAAAGTAAATGTGTCTGAAAAGTTTTACAATATTTAAGGAAGTGCTTTTGGAACTTCAGTTTCACAAAGTAACCAGGACATAATGTAACTATATTATATGTAAGTTATTGCTGAATGTTACTCTTGACCATATTTCATAAAATATGTACAACCACCTCTCTTGTCACTTCAAGTAAAGAAAAGATAAATCTGACTCTGGGGGGTGAAATCTGACTCTGGGGGGTGGTGCTCATCTCCATTTCTAAGCCGAAGAGCCGGTCTTGAACATAGACACCTCCAAGGTAATGTGGCCAGTATGACTGCATGGAGTGCCATTACCTTCCCACCAAGGTGATACCTATTGATCTACTCAAATTTGTATGCTTTCAAACTGCAAGGTTGGCAGAAGTTGGGCCTAAGAGCGGGAGTTCACCCCGCTACCTGGATTCGAACCGCCAAGCTTTCGGTCAGCAAGTTCTGCAGCTCAGCGGTTTAACCCACTGCACCACCAGGGGGCCACTTCAATTTACCCATAAATTGTCCATGTTAGAGAAGGGATGGAATTTGAGATTAAATATGCAATCCCTGAACTTCTACAGTAGTTTCATACCAGATTTTGGACAAAAGCCTTTGCACTACAGTCTTTGGTAGACTGTTCTGTCAACATGCAACAGCAATCTACAGCCTGATCCTTTTGAAATAAACGAGACTCATGGTTCACTCAGAAAAGGGGATTACATTTCCCAACACCTCTAGCCACTGACAATGCTGATTATATCTGTTGGTTTTCCAGCCTGAGTGTAAATTAATTCAAAGAGAGCTAGAGATGCTTGCTGTTTTTATACACTTACATTCAAAGATGCAGACAATGTGGTTCACACCTTAAGATTTATAAGTAGATTGAATGTTATTTAGAAAACATACTTTGAAAGAAAAACAAATGCTACAGGCACATGTGCATACACAAAAATGTTTTTTAATCACAGAACATTCTCAACTTGAAACAGTCTCTCTTGCAACAATGGTTTATTCTGTATTAAGCTGTGTTTCAAAGAAAAAACCTCATGCTAATAACCATTCACTGCTCTCATTAAATTAACAAACAAAAAGCTAGCTTAGAGTAACAAATGTTTAAATATATAAAAATAAGTTTAGAGTTAAGGCTCATATTTCAGTTGCAGTTTTCAGAAGTACCTAGCAATCTTGGCCACGCAGAACTAAGCACCTAAGTTGCAACAAGGGACCTACTAGAAATCTTGGGGATTCATACATATTTCAGACTCTAATATTTTTGTTTTCGTATTCTTTGTGTGAGGCATCCCAATAGTCCATTTTGAAGATCATGGGTCATATCTTCTGGGTGCTAAAGACATTTCAATAGTTATGAATGAAACTGTACTGAAATTGATAAATTATAATTGAGTCAACAAAAGATCAAGGTCAGACACTGCATCTGCTTGGTTTCTTCAGCAAGAGGCTGAATGGTTACTGTAACATCAAACTGTTTGCCATTTTTCGTCTGTTTTGCTGATTTCTTCCAAATTCTTGCAGATCAATCATCTTAGTACGTCTGTTGCCTGCAACAGACATAGTCTAGGAAGCTATCCAATATCTTGCATAAAAGATTTATTTGAACGAGACAGCTACTATACTCTCAATTTTTTTCAGTTCTTCCAAGTTTTAAAAAACTTCCCCCTCCAAATAATGTGTGGGTGGTTGAATTCTCCCCCTTTGAAACACAAGGCACAATTGGGGAGGGGATACGTCGGCAGAGTGATTGTCTTAAAACAGATCCTACAAAGGTCCTCAATGGAACAAATTAAGTTTTCAGCTTTCTACTCATGCAACATCTTCTATGTAATCTGCATCACCACTTAACTGAGAAATGGTGAAATCTTGTGTGAGGTCTTCAAGCTAGAAAGGAAGGAAATACAAAAACATTAACTGAAATTTATCATTTATAACTAAGCCTTATTACTAATACTTTTTTTTAAAAAAAATCTTCCCTCCTTTTAAATGTTATCAACAATATTTGAAATGTAAGTACTCTATGACCAGCTAGCAGGACAATCCTGCTATGTCCATGTCCTATTGAATTCAATCACTCACTTCTAAATAAATAACTTTGATTCTTAAAGTAAGACTGAAAGGAATATTTTGTTTCCCTGAAAATAAGACTAACCAGAAAATAAGACCTAGCATGATTTGTCAGAATGATCATAGATTATCAACCAGATGAATGCATTTACGGCAGTAAATCCGTTGCAACACAGGACGGACGTATTGAACTATAAAATTATAATATTAACATACAATGAAAAATAAATAAATATTATTGACAGAATGTTACAATGATCTTCCAGAAGATGACACGACTGTATTTGAATAAATATAGATTTTTGTACATGAATAAATATGGATTGTTGTACATGAAAAAACAAAGCATCTTCTGAAAATAAGCTCTAATGCATCTTTTGGAGCAAAAATTAATAAAAGATCTAGCCTTATTTTTGTGGAAATACAGTAAGAAGTGCAGACAATTTACTGCTACTTAAAAGAGAATTGAAATCCCATATAGCCTAAAGCAGGTTACAGATGAAATCTTAAAGAAAGTAAAGAACACAATATTTACAAATGATACTTAATACTCCAACCGAAGTCAAGAATTAAATTATATGTATGTGAGGTTACAAGATATTCTTGATCAGTGGATTTTTTTCATCTGAACTATATGCATAGATGAATGCAGGCATGAGGCTTTATTAACTCCCATCTAAGCAGACAGAATGTTTTTAAACACTAGGCTAAGGTTCTGTTATAGAATTTTAAAAGTAGTAGGCATTTTATGATACTGCCATCCAAAATATTGTAAAGACTACTCCTGACTTTCAGCCATCTTCCATATTTTTCTTTTTCAATTTCTGAGAAATGCTAAGACATTCTAATGGTTACAACTTTTTTCTTCTAAAAAGAGGAGGGTTGATAGTTGCACAAACCAACTATTTCAATATCATGTGAGAATTTTTATAATCTGCAATAGATTTTCCATTAAGTTACTCATCTATTTAGATGGAATCATAGAATCATAGAATCAAAGAGTTGGAAGAGACCTCATGGGCCATCCAGTCCAACCCCCCGCCAAGAAGCAGGAACATTGCATTCAAATCACCCCTGACAGATGGCCATCCAGCCTCTGCTTAAAAGCTTCCAAAGAAGGAGCCTCCACCACACTCTGGGGCAGAGAGTTCCACTGCCGAATGGCTCTCACAGTCAGGAAGTTCTTCCTAATGTTCAGATGGAACATAATATAAATGAGATGTTAGGAATTCTAAAATAGTGTTTGCCTCTCTCTGTTTTATTGTTACGAATAGTAATTTGTTCTGCTTTTGTAAATATTGCAAAGGCAACATTTATAGGGTTTTTTTTCAGCAGTAATTTTGTAAAATGTTAAACCCCTGTGCTGGCAGGACTGAAAACCGACAGGTCGCAGATTCGAATCTGGGGAGAGCGCGGATGAGCTCCCTCTATCAGCTCCAGCTCTATGCAGGGACATGAGAGAAGCCTCCCACAAGAATGGTAAAATATCAAAAAACATCCAGGCATCCCCTGAGCAACATCCTTGCAGATGGCCAATTCTCTCACACCAGAAGCGACCTGCAGTTTCTCAAGTCGCTCCTGACACGACAAAAACAAAGAAAAAACAAAGAAAAAACCCCAAGAAAACAGATGCATCCTCAATTCCTTGCAGAAATATAAATGTCATACTTTATCACTGGCATTGAAGTCTTCTAGCTCCACAGAAATATCATCTATTTCTTCACCAATGCTGGCTTCACTTTTCTCTGACCGATGACTGGTACTAATAAAAGGAAAAGTTGAAAGATGGAAACAATGAATCTCTTTGGCCAAACATTAGAGAACTCCTTATGAACTGAATTAGAAATGAAAATAATCTCTAAGTACCTGACATAAAACTTGATTTTTGGATTATCAAAAACATATTAGATACGTTTTTAGCTTTATTTCTTTTTAGAATAATTATGTAGAACTGTAATGTACAATAAACTATGCATGATGACTAATATGTATGTAAAATGACATGTGGATTGGATTGTTTAAGATCTATATGGAAGAAAGTTCATGAATTAACACTTCAAGTTCCATTTTTTTTACAAAAATCATTATTTACTTGGAATTGACTTCTGACTTTATTGACTTCTAGTTTTGTTACACCTGATCTGACCATAGGAAATAGTTTTAAATTGATAATCAACATGAAGATGATTTGTACATTTAAAGAATATGTATACAATCTAGAATGTAAAAAATTAAAGGGTATAAAATCAGAATTTCTTTAAAGAAGATATCCAGTGTTCCCTCGCTGCTTCGCGGTTCGTTTTTTGCGGACTCGCTGTTTCACAGGTTTTTGCCTCCCATTTTATGAATGGTTGCTGTTGTCCAGAGCAACGTTCTAATCCTGCCTCCTGGCAATGATGGAGTGCGGAAGGGGGCTTAACCCTCCCCCACAGGAAAGAGGCAGCCAATCAAGAGAGATTGCAAAGCAAAGCAGAGATAGCTAACAAAAAAGAAAGTGTGAGGTGCCTTTACATCTCTCCCTGCTTCTGCCTCACCCTTGGAATGCAATATACATATATAGCATCCTTACTTCGCACATTTTCACTTTTCGCGGGTGAGCCTGGAACGTTAACACCTGCAATAAGTGAGCGAACACTCTAGTTTTTTATTCACAGAATCGGAACGGACCTCAAAGGCCATTCACTCCGATCTCATTCTGCCATGCAGGAACACATACTCTAAGCACCCCTAACAGATGGCCACCCAGCTTCTGTTTAAAAACCTCCAGAGAAGGAGACTCCGCCAGCCTATTCCACTCCTGAGCAGTTCATGCCTTAGTATTATTCATAAATGATCTTTCTAAACATCTTCAAGAAGATGTATGCATATCAGTAGGGTGTATCAAATTGAGACAAGCCTTTGCCTCTCTGAAATGTAGCACTCTAAGACTGTGAGGGCACTATGCTAGGTTTTCCAGGGAGATGCTGCAGTGGCAAAGAAAAACCTGCAATCTTTCAGCAGCATGGTTCTCTAGTGTCTTACTTCCTTTTCCTCCTACCATCACTGTCTATGTTGGCACAGTGGATCCACAGGATCCCAGAACAGGAATTTAACTGTGATTTTCTTACCTGTTGAAGTCATCTGCATATTCATCTTCATCGCCTGTTTGTAAGCCATAAAACAAGAGCATTAGTACATTCTGTTCTTAAACTAGCAGGCCCATTTCATAACATCATGTTAATAAAAAGGAACCAATGAGAGGCTTTTATGAGATGAAAAATCATGATTTTAAAAACACATTGTTTTAATATTCTGCAAAAAGTTGGGCCAAATGATAACATTTATCTACACAACGTTTAAACCACATACGGCAAGGGAAACTGCACATACTACATTCAGCAGAAGGAATACTTGCCTAGTTCAAGTGTTCCAAGTTTAGAATTCACCGTCTTTACATCTTTCATAATGGAGTTTCCATCTGTAAACCAAAATTATCCAAGTTTAAAATATGTGACTCCTTTTTACCAAAAAAAAAAAAAAGTTTCATAATTTGATGGCAGAATAAAAAATTAAGCATCTTAAGTTTGGTCTTGCAGTTTACACCCAACAGTTCAGTTAACAGTGAACAACTAATGAAACCAATCTTTCTTTTCCTCCCTCTCCCCCTTCATCCTGGGAAAAAAACACTCAAGAAGTTTGGGCTCCCCCTGAACAGAAGTGACCATAATAATAATAATCATCATCATCATCATCATCATCATCATCAATCATCATCATCATCATCATCATCATCATCATCATCATCATCATCATAATTTGGATTGTCATTGGAATTAGGTTGCAATCTTCCCGAAGAGTTGAGGGAATCTTCCAGAACACCAAAATTCAAAATACTCTATATGTATAAGGTATAAAGGAAGTCCTCGAGTTACAAACATCAGACTAACGAACGACTCATAGTTAGGAACAAGGCTTTTTTTCGTGTCAGGAGTGACTTGAGAAACTGAAGTCACTTCTGGTGTGAGAGAATTGGCAGTCTGCAAGGATGTTGCCCAGGGGATGTCCAAATGTTTTGATGCTTTACCATCCTTGTGGGAGGCTTCTCTCATGTTCCCGCATGGGGAGCTGGAGCTGAGAGAAGGAGCTCACCCGCACTCTCCCCGGGTTCATACCTCCGACCTGTTAGTCTTCAGTTCTGCTGGCACAAGGGTTTAACCCACTGCACCACTGGAGGCTCCATAACAAGGCTTAGACAACAGGAAGTGAGAGAAATCTAACCCTCGGAAGTGAAATTCACTCTTGAAAGAGTTATCATGCGGAAAAGGTGTCTCCACTAGAGCTTTATCACCAATCCTTGTTTCCACAACAAGCAGAAGTTTCCAAAATCCAATTATCACAGGGACAGAAAGTGAGGTGAAATCTTCTAAACCGGGGCACAGACAGCAAAAAACAAAACAAAACACCACAGTGGTGTTAACCCTTCCCCATGCTTTCCAAAGCTTATAATACTTATGGCTGGAGTTACACTTAAAAATATACCTATTCCAAGTTACAAATAAAATCATCTTAAGAACAAATCTACAGTACCTACCTTGTTCATAACTTGGGGACTGCCTGTATGATTTCATGTTTAGACTTGATTCCCCCATGCAAGTATTCCAAAAATAATTTTTAAAAAACCCAAAGTATCAAACAAATATTTCAAAAAAGGATACTCATTATGTAATAATTTTCTTACACAACTGGAATTCCCAATGAAAACCTTTTGTCTGTTAGAATTAAAGAAAGGCTCTTGCAACACATGCTCATCATAGTAATTCCAGCATCAGTGCAAATTATCACTCCTGTTCTGCTCAACACATCAAAGGGTTTGCACTTACTATCAGGCCCTTTTAGTGGAGGTGCTCCAGACAAAGAACTCTGGCCACTCTTCAAAGGAGGTGCATCGGAAAAGGATGCAACATTCCCCTCTTTGCTAGAATCATTTTTCCTGCAATAAAGAAAAGAAATAAGCAGTCATTGTTTTTAGCTAATTTAATACACTTTAATAGGTTACTTATTAAAAACAGTATAATTGGATTATACAATCTGCACACCAATACCAGGATATACATTGTAGTAACAGCAACTGAAAAATCCTACTGTCATAAGTAGAAGGTAAACTCAGCATAGAACAGATTTTATTTCCCATAACAAAACTCTGATTGGTTCACTTTAAAGCTCATAACATCGTGCATAAAATCACTATGGATTTTGAAGAATATTTTATCAACAGTGTAATGTAAGTAGAAAATGTTTCAAGTTACTTATAATTCTGAGTGGAGGTACACTTTCCTCAGCAAAAGAAGGTGGTCTGAATGGAAAGACTATCGGAAGACTTTTTCTTCAAACATGTTGAAAATGTTCTTCAGTAGCAGCTATTTATTAGTTTAATTCTTTCACTTTCTTGTAGTTGAAAAAGCTTTAACAACAATGGCATTTGCATATCTAATTACAACTCAAGAGACCCTTTCAAGGTATGTCAGTGCTTTCATTTCGTTCAACATACACATTTCTAACATTGCACTGGGAGTCTACTTCTGGACATCACCAAGTTTCTGTGATGGCTTCCGGGTGTTATTTCACTGAAACCTAGCTAGTATAATTAATGGTGAACAATGGCAGGAGTTTCTGTACAGTATCTGAATATTTTGTCAATTTCTTGCTTAACTGGGCAGTGCATAAAGCCACTTTTAGGGTATTCTGATTCTCTGTTATATTTACAATCACTAATACATAGTAATATAATCTGAAGCACTGAAGTCCCGGGTTCATCAGCCTTCACTGATCTATTGAAGCTAGCACTGGTGCATCATCATCAAATGCATCTCCTTGTATAAAGACACAAAAGCAACTATTTTAATTTAAAAGGCATAGGAAAAAAACTGTTTACAGTAGACTCTATAGATTTTTGAAGTCTTTTCTTTATTTACTATCTTCTAACTTGTTTGACAGACCAATTAAATGTAAAGGAACATTTATATCAGAAATAAATCTGACTCACCAGCTATAAGACCGTTCTGGTTTTGGTATAGGATCATCAAAGAATGAATCTCCTTCTGTATCATCTTCCTCTCGAGCTATGCTGTTCTTTTCTTTGGTATCTATTTCTTTGTTTGGTTGAGAAATTAGCTTTATTTCATTGGGTAAGAAGTGAATTGTGTCTCTGCTCTTTCTGTCTCCAGACAAGTTGCTTTTATCACTATGACTGGTTTCAGTAACCTTAAAGAAATCACAAATTCTAATAAGTAACATTGAATTGCAGTAATTCATTTTTAAATACGTAGGTACAAAGAATAAACAAGGTATCAGCATTTTACACAGCCATAAATCAAAACTGTTTCAATAGCTGGAAATATAGGCAGAAATCCAAACTGTACCAGCATGTAAAGGAAACAGATTAAATAATATATGAAGAGAGAAGGGTCATTAAAATTGGATACTTTTACAAATACCCAGTGTTAAATAAAAGAACCATGAAAGCTACTGAATTAGCAAAAGCCAATGAAATAAAATACAGCATCCTATAGAACAGTTTTAATTACTAAGTGGTTTTTATAGAATATGTTTTAAAGTGTCTGAAATTGAGAAAATATGATCAAAGTCTGTATTTTTTCCATAAGTTTCTAAAATATTCAAAAACTGGACAAAATACAAATAAAACTATTGGTGATAACAAAATTTTATTCTTTTGAATCTCACAATTTAGGAAAACAGAAATATTTACTTGAAACAACAAGATGTTGATTTTATTATTGGGCCAAAATTTTTGTCACTTTAGCTGTGCTCAATTCCAAGAAATAGTTCAGTCAATTATATAGATAACTGGCAAGGGGAACTCAAGTTGGATTTTCAACTAGAATTTGAAGAGGGCTTATTATAGCCCTGTATTCAAACATTAATACACAACATATGCCTCATAAATGCTAAACTACTCTATACACTCATGTCGACATCATATATAATTTGAGGGCAGTTGGGGGGAGGGGGGGGGGCGGCAAAATTATCAATTTTGATATGACAAGTAAATCAAGGGTCCTTCCAGGGAGGAGAAAGCAGCAATGCCGGCTTAGGGAGCCAGTCACCCTTGCCTGCTGTCATTTCTTTGTCAAGACATTCTAAAAGTCCAGAAGCCTGAAACAGAATGGCAGTTAGTGTGGCTGCTGCAAAAGAGCTGTGGGGGGTGGAGGGGCTGTCCGCTTCCTTTAGCCAGCCCCACTTAACAATCTGGCTGAAGCTCTTTGTAAAGTCAGAGTCCAAACTCTTCAAAGGCAATCATGTAGAGCACATTTTCATATTTCAAACAGGATGTACATAAGGCATATATCACCATGGCCAAATCTGGCTTCTCAAGGAAAATGTGCATATGGCACAAAGGTTTTAAATGTGAAAAGGCACTCTGAATGACCGCAGAAACCTGGACCTCCAAGTCCAATACTGAGTCCAGGAGTACTGCCAACTGAGGACTTGTGTCTTCAGGAGAAGTGTAACCCTATCTAGCACGTCTAGAACCTCATTGCTTGATCTGCCTTTTCACAGACCAGAAGCACTTTTGTCCTGTTTGGATTACATTTTAATTTGTTCGCTGACATCTAGTTCATAACTGATGGCAAACATTGGCTTAGGACCAGGACAGCTTCTTTGGCTTTGGGTTAAAAGTAGAAAAATGTCATATGCATATAGATGGCACTGCACTCCAAAACTCTGGATGACATCTCCTAGGAGTTTCATATATGTGATAAATAGTACAGGGGACAGGGGTTCGAACAAGAGTCCCCAGTGCCACCTTTTACAGTTTCTTCTGCAGGAAGAAACTGTAAAACAGTGCCTCCATGTCCCACCCCAGCAAGGTGGATCAGAAGAATCCTATGGCTGATGAGATCAAAAGCTGCTGAATGGTTAAGGAGAACCAACAAGAGACACTCTCCCTGTCCAGTGCTCCGCATAAGTCATCTATCAAGCTGTCCAAAGCTGTTTCAGTCCCATAACTGGCCTGAAATCAGATTGAATTGGATCTAGAGACTCAATTTCATCCAAAAACATCCAGAGTTAGAAGGCCATCACATGCTTCAATACCTTGCTCAACGGTGAAAACTGAAAATATCTATCAACACTGGAAAAGCAGTGGTTACATTCATTAAAACTATATCAAAACCAGAATTCAACTTAGAGGAAATCTATCTGCAAAGTACAAATTCTGTGCTGTTGAATGGTCAACATTTCCTCTTGAGGACAAGTGTGTGATTGTCCTCTGTCCACTTGAAACAGCCCTGCTAGACAGCTATTTACAGATGAAGTGGTGGAAGAAAAATATTATTTGTGTGCTGTCTTCATTGCTGTGGAGTTCGAATCCGGGGAGAGTGGGTTGAGCTCTTTCTGTCAGCTCCAGCTCCCCATGTGGGCACATGAAAGAAACCTACAAGGATGGTAAAATATCAAAAACATCCAGGCGTCCCCTGGGCAACGTCCTTGCAGGCAGCCAATTCTCTCACACCAGAAGCAACCTGCAGTTTCTCAAGTCGCTCCTGACACACGCACACACAAAATATTGTTGTAGAGTAAGCTTTCAAATACTCCAGCACATGATTAGTCAGATTCATCTTCTGTCAGTGTCACTCACTTCATCATTGCCAACCCTCTGGAAAACCAGAGGGCTTGTTTGGCTCCAGGCGATGCTCAGGAGCAATCATGTGTACTGTCACTTTTTATCTTTACTCAAGCCAAGCAATAATACACATTCATATAGTTGAACACTTATGTTAAACATGTGAACGATCATATATTTCTCTCCGTGTTCAGGGCAGATTGTATGGGAGAAGGCAATTCTGTAGGTAACCTGGACCAATATCATTTAGAGTATTAATGGTCAAAGCCAACACTTTGAGTCCCTTCGGGGCGATAGGGTGGGGTACAAATAAATCATTAATATTAATGTTATTGTTATTATTATTTTGCCAGAAACCGATTGGCAGCCAATGGAGTGAGTTTAGCAAGAGTGTAATATACTCACTCCTGAATGTTCCTGTAACCAATCTGGCTGCTGTATTTTGAATCGAACTTGGGACAAAGGTAGCCCAATGTAAAGCGCATTGCAGAAGTCCAACCTTGAGGTTGCCAGTGTGTGCACTAACATCTTTAGGTCCCCCAAATCTAGGAAAGGACACAGCTGGTGTATCAGCCAAAGCTGACAGTAATCATTTTTGATGATCACATCTACCTGGACTGACATTTGGAGAGATGGATCCAGGAACACTCCCAAGTTGTGAACATTGTCATTCAGGGAGAATGTAACTCCATGCAGAACTGTTTGATTAGGACCCTTGACGGCTAGCACTTTTATTTTGTCTGGATTCAGTTTCAATTTGTTTTGCCTCGTTCAGCCCATTACCTACTTCAGGCATTTATTCAGAGGAGACAAGCTATCCTTAGCTGAGGATGTGTTTGAAGGAATGGAGAAATATATCTGCATATCATCAGCATACTGATACCGCCCTGCCCCATGCCTCTGGATGATCTCTCTCAGCTGTTTCATGTAAATATTAAAAAGCATTGGGGATAGAATGTCACTTTGTAGGATGCAAATAGCAGCTCCTTTTTTGAAGAACAACTATTCCCAAGCGTTACAATCTGGAACCTGTCTGAGAGGTATTACAGCAGTACAGTGTCTCCGATTCCCAGCCCTTCCAGATGTTCCAGAAGAATATCGTATGGTCGATAGTATTAAAAGCTGCTGAGAGGTCTAGAAGCACCAACACACACTGTTTGGCCATATTAACATGGAGATCATCCACCAAGGCTACCATAAGTAGTCTGTATCCTGCTCTGAAGCCGGTTTGGAATGGGCCAGGGAAGTGTGTGCCATCCAAGACTGCCTGGAATAGGAGGGCAACTGCCTTCTCAATCATCTTGTCCAAAAAGGGAGGTTAGAGACTGGTCTATTAAGGCCCAGGGGATCCAAGGAGGGCTTTTTCAGCAGTGGTTACTACCAGTTCTTAAAAACAGGGTGGAAGGTTCCCCTCCTTGAGAGATGCATTAGTAATTTGTTGTATTTGAGATCAGATTGCATCTCCTCACTAGGCAACCAGCCAAGACGGACATGGATCAAGAAAACGGCTTGTCTTCTTTACTTGCCTCAGCAGCTTGTCCACATCAACAGCGCTCACCAATTGAAACTGATCCACTGTAATCCCAGAGTTGCTAGACACCTCGTTGTTACTTGTGCTACAATGACAGCATCTAAGTTGGCTCTTATGCAAGAGATTTTATCTGTGAAATGGTTGTGAAAAGCATCAGTGAGCTACTAATGATTTTAATGGGTTCAGAGAGGAGGGTACCCGAGTTAAGCCTCTCACCACTCTAAACAGCTCGAGTAGACATGAATTTGCAGATGAAATGCATGCAGGGAACAAAGCTTTATTTGCTGTGAGTATTGCCAAATTATGGAAGCAGAAGTGCCCTCTATACCATACCATGTCTTGTCACCTAAAAGTCGAATTTTCTGCCATTTGAAGACCAGAAAATGTACAGAAAACTAAAAAAAATCATAAATGAATATCTTTTTTTGTGTTAAATATGATTACCAGTATTAAAAGTTAAAATTTGTGAGGGAGGCCTAAAAATATTTATGGTTTTTCCAATTTATTTATTTATTTTACAGGAGCACTGCATCCTTAATGCACACAAAGTAGGCTGATTGTACTACCTTTTTTCTCTTACAAGTGTAAAAGTAGCTGGGTTTTTTGAATTAATAAAAAAGTTAATCATTAAAAAATTAAAAAATGGAACTACCTATCACAATCAGTTTCAATCAGAATATGCATTCTAATGAATGGGTCTTTACAGAAAGTATAAGTTCATCTTCATCTAGTTACACCTATACCAGAAAACTCTTTTACACTGATGGGCAATGTTGATTTGAACTGATTCCAAATAAACATAAGGTAGACTTGAAATACTATATACAAAAAAAAAATTAAACTAAAATTGAGTCAAATATAACTATTGTTTAAACAAACGAATCATGGGAGGCTGAGCATGTCTCAGTCTCCATGAGTTATATCATTTGTGTTCACAATTATCAAACTTTCAAAATTAGAATTGTTACTTTCTGTCTTAAGGCTACTTTAATTCCTGAGGATGTAGTCATGTCCAGACAGATACAGGTATGGTCACCCTTGATCTATTGGTGTGAAGAAAAGAGTAATTTAATGGGCGACAGGCATAATCACTGTGGACTCAACAACATGTAAATCATAACAAATGTTTTTTTTTCCAAACTCAGGTGAGGAACTCAAAGAAAAACAGCAGTGGTCCGCTGCAATACAAGTCTACATATGGGCTAATAAATGTTAGCTCAAACAATACTGGAGTTACTGTAACGCCCTCTACATTGGCCTCCCTCTGTCGGTGATTCGAAAGCTCAAGTTGGTACAAAATGCAGCTGCTCGGCTTCTTGCGGGAATTCCGATGAGATGCCACATAACACCAATCTTACTACAGCTGCATTGGTTACCAATTGAGCACCGGATCACTTTCAAAGTGATGGTACTCACCTTTAAGGCCTTGCATGGTCTGGGGCCGATGTATCTGAGGGACCGCCTCACCCCTACCAACCCCAGAGATCCCTCCGTTCTGAGGACCAAGATCTATTGGAAATCCCCAGTGTCAAGACCTTGCGTCTAACAGCAACCAGACGCAGAGCCTTCACAGCAGTGGCACCATCACTCTGGAATACTCTGCCACCTGAAGTCCGTGCCTTGCGGGACTTACCAGCTTTCCGCAGGGCATGTAAGACATACCTGTTTCGACAGGCTTTTAATGTTTGATACTGTTGTTTTTAAATTGTTTTAAATTGCTTTTAAATTTTGTTAGATTTTAGCTATTCTTGTAAGCCGCTCCGAGCCCCAGGGGAGTGGCGGCATATAAGTTTAAATAATAAATAAATAAATAAATAAATAAATAATAAATAGGGTCTGTCTGTCTGTAAGTTCGGTGTTCACCCTTAAACACTTACCCTACAAAAGGTATTTATATTTGATGATGCACTTTTGTTTTCAGAGCTACAGTAGCCTCTGTGGCTTCCAGTCCTAGAAACCTGATTTCAGCAATCCTGCTATATTTCAGCAATCCTGCCACTATCCATTTGGGCATGGAAATAGGTCTGACTTCGAAAATGGTCTGGAAACTATAATCAACTACGTTGCCAGAAATACCAACTGGAAATGAATTGCATGAATTTATCATGCTGATACTCTCACCTTCACTTGCTCCTAATCATGTTTTGTCAACTCAAAGTATTGTGACTGCCCTAGAAAGGCCTGGTTTGGGGTTTCATCATCTGAAGAATTGCATCTTCCTGTATGTCATCATCTGACTGCCCCAACTACTCCTGCCAAATAAGAATCTGAGAACAATGTCTCTTATTGTGGAATGCTCCCAGATATAGGTTTACCACACAGCTCCCTTCAAGTGCTGACAATAGACAGAAATCATTTCATTTTCTCAGTCTGTTAAGCAATATTTCTTCCCTGCAGCAAATCTTTGCTATAACTGCACTGATTTTAATTTCCTTTGTTTTACATAATACTGTGGCCTTCTATTATTCGATGCCTTGTGGATTTTAAGAACAAATAAAGGAAACAAATAGAACACTGCCATAGCCTCACTTCAATTTCTGCTTCTCTTCCCCATCTTCCAAGGAGAACTGTATTCGTCATGAAGCAAACTAAGGAGGATGCCCACTTCGTGAAAATACAAAAGAAAAAACGAGAAGTGGAACCAGGGGAGGAGTCACAGCGCCCATCCAAGAGAAACAGAAAATATATGGTAATTCCCTGAAATCTTATTTGCAACTCTGACATAATTACAGGACAGACCAGGCATCTTAAACAGATAAAATGTAATTTTATGCAAATATCTGGGATTATCTAAAATATATGGTATTTTAGCTCAGCACCAGTACTCATGTGATTTTAAAACTGAAAACAAGGAAACCAACCCCATGCCCCCTGACTGAAATCTAAGCTTTCCTTTATAATAACTGTGCCTTTAAGTAGGCAAGGCTGGGTGGCTTCAAGTCCTTGCAGCATTACACTTCAATGAGGAGAGAAACCCAGTCAGCATACACCACTGAAAATGAGATTCAAATGGCTGAATAGCTGCCACAACAAACGTGATATAAGCAAGACCTACACATGTTTTGGGATGACAAACAGATAGTTCAGAGTTAACTTTTGTAACTTTGCTCACTAGAAATTCCATGTGTGAACCAGTCCTCCAATAATCAAAAGCTGACACTATAAAATAGCAATACTGAGCCTAGCTCAATCTGCACATTCATTTATTAAATCTAAGAAAATCAAGTATGTGGCATTTAGAAGAATGCATCTTCTTGGAAAAACACTTTACTCATACTATGTTGTAAAACTCAGGAAGGGTAGGCAAGCAGTCAGTTACTTCATAAATGTCTGCAAAGCTTATTTAATAAACCATGTATTAACTTTAAATAAAGTTATGAAAACGGTGCCTTAGCCCATACTACTTCTTTCTATTTGTGGCATTAGTTTATCAAAACACAACTGAGCCAGTTGATTTGATGTTTAGTGCAAGCTGCTCTTTTTACAAGTATAACTAGAAGCACCTGTCAGGATCTTCTGCCCATGCATTTTACCTGCTCAGCCGTGTCCAAGCACCTTTTCTGTTTACGATGTCCTTTATACCTTGGTATCTGAGCACAAGAATAAAATAATGGCACAAAAATGAAAACCAATTATATGTGGATTATCTTAACTGAATTTAGATTCTTGAGCAAAGTTGTTTACCCGCATTTTGAAATACAGCTTAAATGTTTTGCCTTTTAATAGTCTTTTCTCTATAACGGTGGAATAGTGATGAACTGTAATCTAATACTTCCAACTAAACTTCCTGATCTTTAAAATTCTCACGAGTTTCAAAGTAAAACAGCATACAGGCACTTATATTTGGAATGAGACTGACAAGTTCCATAGGAAATATCATCAGAAAGATTATTCTGATAAGTCAAAACATTCAGCATTCCACAATGTTCAGCTGACTCAGAGCACATCTATAGTTTATTATTCATCTAAGAATACAAGACAATTGTTTGGGCATATATATTTTTTCAAGTAAGAATGGAAACAAATCTGGTATTTCTGAAAACACAGTGGGGTTTACTTCTGAATAAACATGCACTGCACTGTTAAACCTCCATTTAGAGTTCTTCGTCTATTACCAAGACTGCAGCAAGATTCTGAATATCTAAGCCACTGTTATTTCCAGATTTCTATTCCCACAATAATCCTTTTTGCCTCTCAACATTTTAAACAGGTGTTCACTCAAACTTTTTTTTTTAAATAGCTGCTTCTGGCAACTAAGAAACCAAATAAACAAAAACTAATTCATCCACCCTTTCCTTCAATATACTTGATAGAATACATGAGGCTAAGGATCCAGGTATGTGTTCCCCCATTGTGACCTATGTGGAATTTAAGATCAATTAGGGAAACTATATACTGGTATCTCAGATCAATGTGGTTTGTAGAAGCTACCAGACATGGAGCCCATTTGACAACACTATAGCTATGAGTCCTTTGCATCAGGGATATATTCCCCAAGCAAGACATATACATTCCTGATATTCAAATGTCATGTTGTACAAGCTTCTAAGATACCAATGTTTGTTCTGTTTTTTGTTCTTTGTATTGTTTTTACTGTATTTTACCATCAATTAACAACTTGTAATCGTAACTATTTATAATCTTTTATGCAGACTGACAGATATTCTGGGATCCTAGACTAAGGAAAGTGATATAAATAAAATCATGTAAATATATAAACAACCAATAAAGTGATAGTGCTGTGGGGGCAAATCAGACAACAGAATAGCACATCGTTAATAATGATTTTAAAAATACGTTCAAAAGTCAATCCAAACAGGATGCTTTGAATTACATCCATGTTTTCAACATACACACATTACAATCTGAACATAAATAAATAAATTTAACTGTGCTAAGTAGTCACAATTATTCTGTTTCCTACTACTACTACTACTACTACTAATACTACGGATAGATATGATAAAAGAAGGCTTATTTAAAGGAAACCAGATGTTCTTATTTCATACAGCAATGTGGTTGATTCTGCATGCTATTCCTTCATATAGTGACATCTCTATTCTTTATTCCACAATCAACACATTCAGGCTAAAACAAAGGTACCCTTCGCTCTCCTCCATCATTTCAATAGAATTTTTGTTTCCGCTTTAACAGCTGCATACAAGTTTTTTTTACTGTAACAGTCTCTATGTTATGCTACAGCAGCCCTGACAGACATCATATTAATTCAAACTGCAATTTGGTAGCCATTCACAAGAGATGATTTCTAAATCATATAGCCACTTTTTTTCCCCCTAGCAACTGCAATGCTCCATGAAATATATGCAAGCAGCTCCACACTTGCATATATTCATCAAGATGATTTTCCCAGACTTTGGGTGATAGCACCCCCTCTTCTAGAAACAGAGCACCAGATGAAAAGGATCTCTGAGATCATTCAACAGGAATAATTCTTATTATCACGACAAATTCATGAGCATTGGTTAGTAATGTAAGGACTCAGAAGGGGGATAACACATTGGGAATGAAAACATTCTCCCTGAACAATTTTGAAACATGAAATATTTAATGTTAGAAATTAACATAAAATTAAAATCTTTTAAGAGAAGGGATTTATTTACATTTACCTGACATTTAATCCTGTGAAATGAGAACTATCGGCTTATAAAGAACAATAGTGAACTATTTTAATTTGTGATGTCTTAAATAATAAAAGGTTAGTTTTCAGGGACCAGGTTCCTGCAGAATTCAAGGGAATATAATCCTTCCTAACTGTTAAAAGACAGTCAGTGCTAACACAACAATTATTGCAGTATACATTAAACATGGAATATAGTATGTTCTACAGAAATAATGAGGACAGATGGGGGTTGTAATAGGAACATATTTCTTTTTACTGACAACTGTTTAGTTGTCCTTCCTTCTTGCTGGCTTCTAGATTATTCCAAATGCCTTCCTCCCAAGATACTGATTTCAGAAAATTTTACATCTCAAGCCTCAGAAATTTAATTTTATTATTCACTTATGGAATCAAGATTCTCCTTTTTGAACAACCACAGTCCATCATTTTTTTTGAAGCATAACCCTCTCAGTTGAGTTTATACTAACACAAGCATGATGCAAATTCCTGAAGAGGGAAGAAAAGGGGAATTTGCAAAGAAATACAATACCAGAACACAAACTTTTACAATAACATTAGGTAACACATTTTTGTTCCTGGGTTAAAAATGTCATTTCCTAATTGGTTCTATCATAAAAACATGGGAAAAGTTTATTAAATGACAAAAACTTTGTTTTTGTGAGACATCCTGCAGCATATTTTGCTATAGTTTTGCAATAAATGTCTCACAGAGTTTCAACTAATTCAACATATTGGACTGCATTGAATTGGCTACTCAATGCTAATCAAGGTGGCCAATTGCAACATTCACACTTTCCTCCAACAGACAAGAGTTCTTTCTCCCACCCTGGACGTGCTACAGATATATAAAGCCGACTTGCCTAGTTTCCAACAGACCTCACAACTTATGAGGATGCCTGCCATAGATGTGGGTGAAACGTCAGGAGAGAATGCTTCTGGAACATGGCCATACAGCCCGGAAAATGCACAGCCACCCAGTGATTCTGGCCATTAAAGCCTTTGACAACACAATTCAACATAGTTTGTGAAAGCTACAAAAATGAAGTTTCTGGAGTATAACAACTACTTTCAAAGTAAGTACCACACAATTAAACAGGAAATAATACTTTCAAATCAGGAACAGAATTTTTTTTTCAAATTTTGTTTATGAAGTGTAATTAATCTAAATCAATGCTACTCTAAAGCTTAGTCTACAAGTCATTTGTTGCCAGTCCCTGGAGAACTTCCAGGAAAGAAAGAGAATTGTCACCAATGGGCACATATGACACTGCTCACTTGGGGGAAATATTTTGGTTCTCCCCATATAATAGCGTAGTTTAAGAAGTACCGAAGTAAAGCATAAACAACAATAAACCTGTTCTAGGTAAGCAGGTATTTTGTGCTAAACCCTTTTTTACCCATGTGAAGTAACACATTTTTGGGAACAATCTTTTCTAAGTTTACTAGTCTTTTTTTTTCCTTTGAGGACTTTCCTACTCTTGTTTTTTGCCACAACTGTAGCTTCTTGCCACTGACATTAACAATATTACCATCAAATACCTCTGTCATATCTATTCTCCTCCACACAAGTTATAAATAAGATTGACACTGTGAAGTAATACACACCTGTTTCCTGCAGAAAAACATAACCAAAAACTTCCAAAACCGAATATGTCTCTTATACATGTTATAAACAGAAACAAATATGTGAAAGTGAAAACTCCAAATCCCAAACTAATTTAGCATACTAAATTGTATTTCTAATCTCTTATCAAACAAGCCTGCATAATTCATTATGTACCAACATGACTGCAGCCACATGGTAGGCATGGTAACAAATAGGAATGAGAAGCTGGACATACTGTGAATGAGCATTCTAGGATGGCAGGAAGCATGAAATTAACCCAGTCATGGTGGATTGTGTCATCTTGATAATATAGTAATATTCTCCAAACATCCTAATCAAATGAGAATGCTTTCATTAAGGAGTTTCAAAAAATAAGTGGAGGTCAGGTTCTTGTAAATGCAGCTAATGATTAGAAAATGTTGCAACTTGTCCCCAGAAAGAAACAAACAAACCAACAAACAAAAGAGACCACAAAACAAAGTATGTATAGCATATGTGTGGACACCCTTCCAAATGACCACTATTTCTTTAAAATGATGGCATTTCTTTTTACAAAGACAGGAGCCATTTTCTGAAACCAACATCTTTAGTATAATCAAAAAATTATGAGTTCAATTATCTCATAAACCAAACCTAGAATTTGCAAAAAAAACAAAAAAAACACCAAAACAAAACACAACACAACAACAGCATGAAACACACAATCACCCCAGCTTTCAATTTCCTTCTCCAGCTCTACAGTCTCATTGGTGCATGCATCGAATTTGATTATAGAATTATTTCATTATCAGTTGGGTTTATTTTTTTGTACTAAAATTTATATCTAGACTGATAAATGCGTATATACAGTAACTCATTTTTTCAGGAAATAAACAGGACATAGAGCAAGGGTGACACAGGTAACTGTGCCTCTCCAGGTATTCCTGAGCTGCAACTCCTTACATCCCTTATTGCATTATATTAGCCATTTTCAAAAGAAAAAAAGTGAGTACAATAAATTATTATTATTATTATTATTATTATTATTATTATTATTATTGCCTTTGTACAATATACTCTGTTTTGTATAGTTTTAAGGAGAACAAACATTGTTCCAGATTTGCTGGAATCTTCAGAATTTCCAGTTTTATGCTACAAAATCTCAAAGGGAGACAACGGTTAACATCCCCACCACCACACCACATGCCAAGAACTGGGATAGGTTATGATTGGGTGGTGATATTCTTTTTGATGGAGAGGAACCCTGTTGATGCAAGGAATTAACCAACAATTTTCATAAACTCTCTGGAAAGCTCTATAGGCCTTTTGTAATTACATCAAAAATGAATGTTAAAAAGTCAAGAAAGTTCAGACCTAGGGTGCAATTGAAAAAGCCATTCATCTAAACAAAATCAGCAGCTAGTTCCCCACATCCTGAGTTGACCAGTACCAGTTAGCAAGACTTTCCAGGATCCAGTAGTTCCCTTCCCTTCCCATCCCCTCCCCTCTGCCAAGCTTAGAGGAGTGTTCTATAATTTGTATTTAAAAAAAACCCAATCATATACAATCCCATTCAGAATGTGTGGAACTGTAATACTGTCCCTTACATAACTTTCTAGCTGCTACTGTTACTTTAATACATGTTTGCTGTATAGTACCAATTGCCTTTGAAAGCTGAGTAATGAAGGATTTTGAGTTTCAATTTTGAATGTTTAAAGCATGCTTCTCCCAAATTATATTATCATACTTTCTGTTCTTTTGACTTACTTTACTTGGCAACGAGTGTGCATTGGACTTCCCATCTGATTTTAGAGGAAAATGTACACTGTCAGCTATTACTGGAGCTGCCTAAATGGAAGTTTCAAAAAAGAAGGAGAAAATAACCATTGTTAGAAAGATATTAAAATGCTACCAAGAAGTGTAGATATTCTCTTACAATGGATATCATTACTTAAAATGTAATTTATGCTCACAGTGCCTATACTAATATCAATACAAACATTTTAAAATCACAAACCAAATAATGAGATTACTACACATTTTAACAATCCTTACATCTCCGCTGTCACAAACTCCTCTGTTCTGCTGACATCTTCTGACCACTTCCAGCAATAAGGGCCCATCTACTGCAGCTTTAGCTTCTACAATTCCCAAGTCTCGAGCTAAGTTTTGTCGAGCCTCAAGTCCATTTAACTACAAAACAAAGAAATAATAAAAATAATAAATAAAAAACCCAACTTTTATCTTTTAAAACAAATTGAAGGAAAAACTATCTTATCTCTAAGTATCAAGTGATGATAAACAAGCCTTCTGCAAGAGACAAGATTAAAAGTATTAATATTCTTCATCTGCTTAAAATACTTATGTCTTATTTTTCTCCATTTTGCAGTTATTTTAATCCTCTACCCAAACGCTCCTGAAGATTTCCAGCTATATAAACTATTAATAGGAAAAAAATGAAAATATAGTGTGAACATCAACAAAATTTTCTAAGTGCCTGAAGCCTGCTACTCCATGTTACTATGTCCTTTTCATGACCATATAGCCAAGAGTAAAGGGAATTTCGTTCTAATTGGTTGGGAAGCAATCTCTGCCTTAGCCCTTGTATTCTTCAGCAAAAAAACAAAACAAAAAGGAAGCAACTGCCAGTAGAGAAAATAAAGTGAAGAAATAATAATAATAATAATAATAATAATAATAATAATATCACACCCTCCCTTCCCACTTTCTTTACTTCCCAGACCCTATTTCCCTGCCACTGCTCAGGGTGTGCTTTGATTGTGCTTTTCCTGTATGGCACAAGGGAGTTGAACTGGATGGGCCTATTACAATTATTACTCTTACAAAGGCTGGTTGGCCATCTGTTTGGGGTGCTCTGATTGTGCTTTTTCTGCATGGCAGAAGAAGATTGGACTAGATGGCCTCTGAGGTCGTCCACTGAAATACTGTTATGTTTATGCTGGTTAAAACTGTTCTTCAAAAAAGTTTAAGAACGCCTGCTTCAAAAGGAAAGAAAAGCATGGGAGAAAATGGCATATTAATAAAGATTATTATTATTAAAGTATTGCTATTCCACTTTAAATCATGTGGCTTCCTCTTGTCGAATTATAGGGTTTGTAGTGAAGACCAGAATTTCTTTGACTGAGAATTTTAAAGGTCCCTCCCTAAACTGCAATTCCCAGGATACTACAGAAAGCAGCCATGGGATTTAAAAAATAGCTGCATTTTAACAGTGTAGTGTGATAATCTCTTATATCGGCACCTGTCATTTTGGCCCATTCAGATCCTATCAAATTAATATGACATGATTATAATTATAGATATAATTATGTTTTAAATTAAAATGGAAAAGACCTACTGTGCTAGATTCAGGTTGAAAGACAGCCAAAGTAAAATCGAGATTGAAGAACTGAAGAAATTCAGCAACAAGACTAGCCACCAATCGACCTAAAAAAAAGATAAATATCGCATGTCAATTCCTCGTATTGCATTCACATGGGCTACTTAGAAAGTATCATGTAGCTAACTAAATATATTTGGGATTTCTTAAAAAGCCAATACAGGCAGTCCCCAAGTTACAAACAGGATATGTCCTGTAGGTTTGTTCTTAAGTTGAATTTATATAGAAGTCAGAACAGGTACATTTTTTAAGTGTAACTCCAGCCAAATATATACACATATCAGCTTTGGATAACATAGGGAAGGGTTAACACCCCTGTGGTGTTTGTTTTGCTGTCTGTCCCTGATCAGAAGATTTCACTTCACTTTTTGTCTCTGTGATCATTGAATTTTGAAAAATGTGGTTTGCTGTGAAAACAAGGATTGGGGATAAAGCTTCAGTCAAGACATCCTTTTCCCATGACTGGATGGGATTTTCTTTCCTAGGGGTAGATTTCTCTCTCTTCCTGTTGTCTCACTTTTGTTCTTAACTATGAGCCATTTGTAAGTCTGATGTTTGTAATTCAGGGATTGCCTGTATGTCAAAATGAAAGGCTATTAGTATTCAAGACTGATTTAGTGGAAAGACTATTTGAAAAAATAATAAATATGTTTTTGATGGATACTGAATTTAATTGACATCTTATAGCTGGGTCCCTCTCACGTGCCCACATATAATATTGATATATAGTTGATATAGATCTTAAAGGCCATGACTCTCTAGATTCTCATAAGGCTCCTACAAATTGAGAGTCTCCTTCAATTTGTAAGTTGGAATGATGATCATCCTAGGAATGGCATAGTTTTTGGTGATACATTTATCCTCCTTCAGCTCCCTCCCCCTGCTTGAGAGTTCAAGGATCTCTTGCTTTTCTGTAGTAGACAGGGATATCACAAGGTGCTGAACGAAAAATCAAATCAAGTTCTCCCCTACTTCTAGTAGTATGTGTGTGTGTGTGGGGGGGGGGGGGGAATCTAAGGCAAAACATTTAAATCAATCAGCTTTGATAAAAGGGTTTTTACTGAGCATGGGGGGGGGGGGGGGTTCCATGAGCGTATCTCTAAATATTGGGAATAATAACACKACACTCTACTTTTAAATTWAAAAAATCATTGCTACTACAGTGGATAACCAGTTCTTCACCATTATTCTGATAGCTTGGTCTAATTTTTTTATAATGATTTAGAAATCAACTTTTTCAAATATTTTACAATCTTAGCATGCTTTTTTACAGCAATGGAATGAGGAACAGCAATATTATTCCTATTTTACATATAAAACAATTTATCACAATACCCACAATGAATCCGGCAAAGGTCCAAAGGTATAGGTGTTCATCAACTCATTCAACATTACTTCCGCCATAATTCGATCATAATTTCCCCAAAATCACACCAAATTTGGCAACAAAACGTCTCACAACACAAGGAGTGACTATCACTCAAAAATTATGATTTTGTCATTTGGGAGTTGTAGTTGCTGGGATTTATAGTTCACCTACAATCAAAGAGCATTCTAAACTCCATCAACAATGGAACTGAACCAAACTTGGCAAACAGAACTCCCATGACCAACAGAAAATACTGGAAAGGTTTGGTGGGCATTGACCTTGAGTTTGGGAGTTGTAGTTCACCTACACCCAGAGAGCACTGTGGACTCAAACAGTGATGGATCTGGACCAAACTTGGCACAAGCACTCAATACACCCAAATATGAACCCAGATGGAGTTTGGGGGAAATAGACCTTGACATTTGGGAGTTGTACTCACTGGGATTCACAGTTTACCTACAATCAAAGAGCATTCTGAACCCCACGAATGACAGAATCGGGGCAAACTTCCCACACAGAACCCCCATGACCAACAGAAAATACTTAAGGCCATCCAAGGCCATTTTCCAGATCAACAGACTGGGCCACAGCAACGCATGGCAGGGGACAGCTAGTATATATTATATATTTAAATAACAGAGACACAATTTACCATCCTTTGTATTTAAAAACTTTCTCAAGCTTTCATTCACCAGAGGTGTCTTGTTCTGCAAAACAATGAGGAAAATTTAAAATATTTAGTATAAAGCAACACAAATTTTTCAAAGTTTAAATTTAAGAGGTGTATAATAGCTACTAATAATTTCTACTTAATCCATATGTTTATGTCAAATCATTCTTCCATCACACACTGTCAAAGCATGAGGGCAACGGATAAGAAATACCAATATCAATCTAATTTGGGTGATCTTAACAGCACTGCAACAGGATAACATATTAAAACACTAAATGTTTTAATTGGTACTAACGTATACACCCGAAGATACACTGCTAAAAGCAAAGTAAGAATCCTTGTTTTTTTTTTTTAAATGTATAGTGGTGTAAATCCATACATTATCCACCTCTAATTTTATCAAATGAAATAAGTGAAAAAGATGACACTGAAGTCTAAAGAAACACCCCCTTTACTGGAATATTTTGCTTCCATCAGCTGCAGACTTTCAAACAATAAATGACACTAATTTCAGTTTGCAACCATAATCCTGACAGTCAGCCCTTGCACACACTGACAAAAATGGAAGACAAAATGGCTGCTAAAATCCCCCTACCAATATCCCCTCTATCAAATAGAGTTCAAAAGCTGTTAGTTTAACATGCAAAACATGTGCATATTATACTAAAATCAGAGAAACCAAATTAAAGTCGATCTTTACCTCTACTTTTTCTTGCTCTTCAAGAGCCAAAAACACAGCTGCCCGCAACTCTGCCTGCAAAAGAAAGTCAAAAATATGCAAAAATATGTATGTCTACATACATTAAAATCAGGTAACAAGCCAAACAGCACCCAGATGATGGTTTTAAAAGCAATTTTCTGTCTTCTTCTTTCTGTTAAATCTCTAAATGTTTGATAGGTCTCTGATTTCATAGGACGTAAACTTTGGTAACATTTATGTTATTTTTCCTTCTGTTTTAGATGATGTTCAAGTATTTAACAGAAATCCCACTGTGCTAGCAGTAGCAGAACAATCTGTAAGATGTATTTTTCAAGAAACACTTGAGTAAGCACAAAAGTCCATTACAAAAAGCATAGTAACAGTTCTAAAAATGTGAAGCAAACAGAACTACTACTTGAGATGCAATAATGTCCCATTAAAGAAACTAAATTGCAACATCCTTGTACACTGGTGTGACAGGAATGTGTGGATCCCTACAAGTAGGACTGCAATTCCCATCAGTTATTAACTTCCATAGCTAATGAAGCCCACAAAATCAAATAGAAAGTCATACACTGTCTATCTCTCCTCAACATTTGTTCAAGTAAACCAGTGGCAAGAATTGAAAGTTCAAGTTTAGTGTATTTAATAACAATATAGAGCACAGCACATGAAAAGTGCCAATTTTCCATATATCTTGTTTCAAATTGTCGTGTTTGGAACTGTAGTAAAGTTACAAAGAAATAAAGGAAGAAGAACAGCATACACAACCCCTTTTAAATTCAGTGCAATTGCTATATGTGGAACTAATACTCTGTTTTAGTTATTTAGAGAAAGACTAAAAACAATCAAAAAAATTAAATAAAAATTAAGCTGAAACTGAAGGAATAAAGGAAAAGAGTCAATATAAGCAGAATGGAATTGTTGTACTGCATAGTAGAGCATTCAATGGAAAATAGAGAAGAATAGAAAATACAGAAATGGACAACAGTTCTCTCATGTATTGTCAAAGGCCTCCATGGCTGGAATCACTGGATTGCTATAAGTTTTTCAGCCTGTATGGCCATGTTCCAGAAGCATTTTCTCCTGACGTTTCACCTGCATTAATGGCAGGCTTCCTCAGAGGTTGTGAGGTCTGTTGGAAACTAGGAAAATGGGGTTTATATATCTATGGAATATCCAGGATGGGAGGTCCAAGGTGGGATGTCCCACCCTGGACATTCCACAGATATATAAACCCCATTTTCTTAGTTTCCAATAGACCTCACAACCTCTGAGTTTGCCTGCCACAGATGCAGGTGAAACATCAGGAGAGAATGCTTCTGGAACATGGCCATACAGCCCGAAAAACTTACAGCAACCCAGTTCTCTCATGCTGTCATAGTCTCGTGTTTTCTCTCTGCAAAGGAGGGTTTACAGTGCACAGTAATCTAAAGTCAGCCCTCCTTGTTTGTAGGATTACCTCCCCCCCTCAAAAAATATTCTACACTCCTTTCTTGTTAACAGTTTTGTTCGTACATCCCTTTCCTACTTTGCCACCATGTGTCAGACCTCAAGTCTCTCTCAACTACAATACTCCCTCACCTGACTTCTTTCTGCTCATCCTCCACCCATGCTATCATACTATCACCCATGGCAGCTAAAATGGTGTCAACTCTGCAGCGTAGATGTACCCCCAATCTGTACTTAGCCATCTCTGAATCAGATACTGAACAAGAAATAACTCCTTTGTGCAATTAGTCAGCTATCAACGTTTGATCATGATGCTGATAAGGATCCCAGATCCTCTCTGCCTGATCTTTCACATCCAGGAGAACAATGGTCCCAGATTTTGGTCCTATGGATACCATAATTCCTGACTGTTGGCAAAGTTGGCTGTGGCTTCTGGGAGTTGAAGTCCCAGACATCTGGAAGACCAAAGGTTTAAGGTCAAAGAGAGCTCTCCCCTAAAAAGCATGTCACAAGGGCCAAACAACAAGAGAAAGCAATAGTGTCTGCTTGTCCTGCCTACGACAGTGGACATTTACTGGTTCACTATGAGACAGGCAATGCCGGCCGGCCTAGGGAGTCCCTTCTAGCTCTGTGATTCTGTACCACGCATTTCTTCTGTCCTAACATGGGTAATACGGCCATGAACTCTCTGATCCCCTTAACCCCAATAAAAGTCCCACGCATGCGCCCTGAGGCCAAGGCTGCGCGTGGCGCTCTTCCCCAGAGAGCGCACAGCCTCGAGGAATGGCGGGAATGGCAGTTGGCGGAGGGCCGTCGTGGGTCTTCAGCCCCAGCTCCCCTCCCTCGTTCCCAATTCGCGACGCGCCACGCCACTCAGAGGTGCGCCCAAGGCTTCGGTGAACCTCAGGCACACATCCACACCTTGATTTTATTCAGCACGCCGCTCGTCTCCAGGGTCTGCACAAGGAGGTCCCTCAGCTCGGTATCTTCCTCTGTCGCCGCCGCCATCTTGCTTCTCCCTGACAACCGCCTAAACTGAACTAGCGGTCGAGCCCGCCCCGCAGATTCGTCACTCCAGAAAGGGGGGGGGGGGGGGGAGGAGGCGACAAGGCCCGCGCTCCGAGGCGCCGCGAATGTGCGAATGAAAGAAAGGGCAGCGCGTCATCAGGCGCTGTGATTGGCTGGGCGAGGACAAGGGGGCGGGGCTTTGGAGAAGGGAGGTACTTTCAGGAAGTGAAGGAACCTTGCTTCAGCTGGGGATGTCAAGTGTATCTGCACTGTAGCTTCACCCCACTTTAACTGTCATGGCGCTGTGGAATCTCGGGAGCCGTAGTTTTACACGGTCTGAAGCTTTCTCTTACAAAGATGCTGGTGCCTCTCCAAATTTCATCTCCCATGATTCCATAGCAGCGAATTATGGCAGTTAAAGTGGCATCAAACTGCATTAATTCTACAGTGTAGATGCAGCTGTCCTTACACTGGAGTATTATAGCAGTTTGACATCACTTTGATTGCCGTAGTTCAATATAAATTTTTGGGTTTTTTTAGTTTTAAGACATATTTAATCTTTTCTATCAAGGACCTCTGGTACCACACAAACTTTAACGTAGCTCAAGGATAATGGTCCTCCAAGTGAAGTGTCTTGGCAGTGGGTCTGTAGGTGGCTGTGGAGCCCTATTCTTGATCCACATGTTCTCCTGCAATGAGGACATTGGTTTCCAAGTGGAAGGTGGTCCCAGTCAGGGTTGGCTTGACGTGCCTTCCTCTTGGCACGTTTCTCTCTTTCGCTCTCCATTTGTGCCTCTTTTGTTTGTTTTTATTTTTCTTGGAAGATGCCTGTGTGTGAGTTTTTTTAAAATGTGTGAAGGTCAGTGCACAGCCGATGAACACATAGTCTTCACAGAGTGAGGTCCCATCCAGTGGCATGGTTAACATGACGATGGTGGCTTCTCAATCTGTTGCAGCCTTCTTCCGCCATCACAGCCATTGTAAACTTGTACCATGTTATCCTCCACCTGATCTGCAGTTGAGGTCTTTGGGTCTTCGAATTGTACTTGGTCTGGAACATCCTCTGCGGCCCTCCTGGGAGTGCATGACTCCGGTAGTTGGAACATGCAAGCCCCCTTACCACGACAAAGTGACAATCCATCAAGGGGGCACAACAAACTACAAATCACAAAATGTCTTCAGTTGAAGGCTCAGCCTACTCACAGAATGCTTATCTTGACCATGCATCTACACTGTTAACTTAATGGAGTTTGACACTAACTTCACAGATCCAATGCTATGGGAGTCTGGGAGTTGTAGTTTGCTGAGGCGCTAGCACTCTGTCAGAGAAGACAAAAATCTTGTAAAACTACAGCTCCTGGAATTTCATAGCATTGAGCCATGCAAAGATTACTCCAGCCAGGAAATCAGGAGACACTTACTTCTTGGGAGGAGAGCAATGACCAATCTCGATAAGATCCAACCAGTCCATACTTCAGGAAATAAATCCCGACTGCTCACTGGAGGGAAGGATATTAGAGGCAAAGATGAAGTATTTTGGCCACATAATGAGAAGACAGGAAAGCTTAGAGAAGACGATGATGCTGGAGAAAATGGAAGGAAAAAGAAAGAGGGGCCGACCAAGGGCAAGATGGATGGATGGTATCCTTGAAGTGACTGGTTTGACTCTGAAGGAGCTGAAGGTGGTGACAGCTGACAGGGAGCTCTGGCGTGGGCTGGTCCATGAGGTCACAAAGAGTCGGAAGCGACTGAACGAATAAACAACACGAGCCATGACTGTTAAAGCAATGTCAAACTGCATTAATTCTGTAGTGTAAATATGGATAATACTATTGCACTAGATGTTACTTAAAGCCAAAGAAGATCATCTAAGCAAAGAAAGACGACACTCCGAAACCGCAGATCACAACAAAATCCTAAGGGTGCCAAGAGTTAAAACAAAATCCCGGAAATTAAAATGTCAGTTGATGAGATTCAGCTATTTGCTGAATCTCAAGAGTGCAAGCAAAACTTTGAACATAGGTTTGCCAGCAACTCTGTAGACGGTCATTTATTTTCTCCACTTTTGCACTTGGCTTTAGATTTCACTGTTGAATAAAGCTGCAAAAACTGCTCTGTTCGCCTTGGTCTTTGTGGTCCTAGAAATAGGCCTGAAAAGCACAATTTTACATCTCCCAAGTCCATTCCACTAACAGACTAACCTTATGCGCAGGTGATCATGCATAACAGTGTTTGAATCTCAATACTATAGGAACATCATACAGCTAGGGATGTATACAGCTAGGGATGTATAAAACTGTACCAGGTTTCCACATAAAGAAAACAGGCTTAAAAGTTTGTCTGTGTTTCCAAAATGTCACTGTAGGTGGCACCAAAATCCATTTTCTAAAAGCGAGTTTTCAAACCTGCAGACCAAAGAAACATGATTGTGTAATTGTTAAATGGAGAAAAGTGCCTTGAATTATTTATTATTTATTTATTAACTGCATTTCTATACCGCTTTTCTCACCCCTGGGGGGACTCAAAGCTGTTTACAACATAATAAATGGCAAATTCTATGCCTCACATATATATAAAAATATCATATATCCAAATCAATAACAAATAACTGTGGAAAATAACAATTAAAACTATAAAAACATCAAGGATGCACATAAACGTGAAACATATTATTGCTGTAATTAACAATGAAATTAACTGTAATTAACTGTAATTGCTGTAATTAACAATGACTCATTCTCTCTCTCCACCCCCCCCCCCCACCCCGCAACTCTCTCTCCATAGCATTTCAGCCCTTTTTTATACCCTCCCTACTCCCCCCATCCCACCAGACACAAAGTTATTTAGGTACAGATTGGGGAGGGTAAAAAGAAAACACGTCCTGGGCATTTCTTGGGGGATGGTAAAGGTGATATGGGGTCCTTGGGGCAGGCAGAGGAAGAGTCTTATCTGATGATGGTAGTAGGCTACTGATCAGTTTCGCAAAAGTCCAGAGGAACATAGATTTTATCAGTTGTGGTGTCAAGTTAGGTGTGTGCTATCACTTGCCAGTAGACTGAGGATGGGGAGTGGCACCGAAATGTAGCTACTGCTGAGGAGAGTTGTTGTAACAGTAAATAAAGAAGAACACTCAAAAACAGGGGAATTCCAAACAAGGAACCATCAGGGCCAGCTAAACACCTCCCAACAAAGGATTCCCCCAGGCAGTGCAAAGCCAGACCTTTAAACCGGCTAGACCGTTACATGCAAATGGCCAATTGCAACATTCATACTTGCCTCATAGAATCATAGAGTTGGAAGAGACCTCATGGGCCATCCAGTCCAACTGCCTGCCAAGAAGTAGGGAAATTGCATTCAACGCACCTCCGACAGATGGCCATCCCGCCTGTGTTTAAAAGGCTCCAAAAAAAGAGCCTCCACCACACTCCAGGGCAGAGAGTTCCACTGCTGAACAGCTCTCACAGTCAGGAAGTTCTTCCTAATGTTCAGATGGAATCTCCTTTCTTGTAATTTGAAGCCATTGCGCCCTAGTCTCCAGGGCAGCAGAAAACAAGCTTTGCTCCCTCCTCCCTATGACTTCCTCTCACTTATTTATACATGGTTATCATGTCTTCTTCAGGCAAAACAAGCCCAGCTCTTGAAGCCGCTCCTCATAGGGCTTGTTCTCCAGACCCTTGATCATTTTAGTTGCCCTCCTCTGGACTCGTTCATTTGTCAATATCTCTCTTCAATTGTGGTGCCTAGAATTGGGCACAATAAACAGACGAGTTCTTTCTCCCACTCTGGAGATTTCACAGATATATAAACCCAATTTTTCTAGTTTCCAACAGGCCTCACAACCTTGGAGGATGCCTGCCATAGATGCAGGCGAAACGTCAGGAGAGAATGCTTCTGGAACATGGCCATACAGTCCAGAAAACTTACAACAACCCAGGTCCCTTGCACACAGCATATATAACCTAGAATATCAAGGCAGAAGATCCCACAAGATCTGCTTTGAACTGGGTTATCACAGTCCACACTCTGATAATGTGAGATTTTCTGCCTTGATATTCTGGGACATTGGGCTGCGTGGAAGGGTCCCCAGAATTCATGCAGTTTGACACCGCTTTCACTGCCATGGCTCACTGCTAGGGAATCCTGGGAGCTGTAGTTTGGACCAGAAAGGATTCTGGCAGTGAAGGCCTTGCAAAACTACAACTCCCAGGATTCTATAGCATTGAGCCATGCCAGGTCAAGCGGTGTCAAACTGCATTAATTATACCGTGCAGATGCACCCAAGAATGCCATTGTGCTCAAAAGCAGGAAGGAGAGAGGAGGAGAGCGAGGCCCCACCAGGGCTCATGTGAGGAGGGCCCTTCTTTCGGGGCGGGCTTTGCTGCTTTGTTGGCGGAACTCTGCCTCGAGAGGGAAGTGAAGGCTGACGCCCGGAGCAAGCCTTCCGCCCAACCGGCTCTGGTCCTGGCGAGGCAGGTAAAGGGTTTTGTTTTCTCCCTTAAAGATGCCTTTCTCCAACTTTTTTACCCTTTTTCCTGGAGAAGACGTTTCTCTCCCCCTTTTTCCTGGGGAGCTATACTTCTCACTACAGCCGTAGCTCCAAAGTGTACACAGCTCTCCCCAAGGGCCCCTTTGCACTACAACCTTACTGTGCCACCTTTACAGAATTCCCTCCCGTTGAATTCTGGGATTTGCAGTCTTCGGGAGCGGCGTGTGGAATGCTCAGCCGGGGAACGCCGGTGCGTCCTCCAACTACAAACCCCAAGGTGCCTCGGGATGGAACCCTGGCTGTTAAGGTGGAATCCTGCAATTATGGAGTTTGAATGGGACAATCACACGGCCGAGAAAGCCTTTGAATTGATTTAGCAGGGCAGGCATAAGTGCAAACGCCCTTTCCAGTGGGCCCTCTTTCTGTTAGCATTTGTTGTATATGTCTATTTATATCAAACCCTTTCCCTAGACTGGGCCTCAATGGGCCATACAAAAAAGGCATAACATAAAATTCTCCAACTGTCTCCTGCAAACTAAATATATATGACCTCTAATTTCGAATGGACTAATTGCCTTCTGTTGCAGCGTGTGCCTGTATTGTTTCCTAAATGTTCATTTGTGCACAATTTTATCAGTGGTTTGAACAACATAAGGCCCCCATCTACATGGCTATATAATCCAATTTCTGAATCCAGATTATCTGCTTTGAACTGGGTTATATGGCAATGTAGATCCAGCCAATGGTTATTTGTTCCTGTTCAGTTTCTTGACAAAACTGTGTTTGAATTATTCTTTAAAAAACCCAAAAACTCTGGTATGTTTGCATTGCTTTAAAATCTTTAGCATTCACTGACCAGAGGACTACTGGTTTTTCCCTTGAAGCAAGTTTGGAATGAGACAGAAATTACACAAACAAATATCAAATTGTGGGTAAAGTTTCCCTACATAATAAGGAGTTCTGTAAACTTTGGTGCTACTGCTGCTTTAAAAATAATTTCTCAATATTACAACACTCCATACACTTCCTGTAACAATCTGAACAGATGTTTTGTAATGTGCATAAACAGTGTTGCCAAATCACTATTAATTTATGAGAAACTTGGTTTTCTGTTGTTGCTGCTACTATTATTATTATACTAACTTGGGTACCTTGCACAACCTAGGTTATTTGAAAATATCAATTTTTAATTCTATAAAATGCATAAGGTTGTGGGTGAACTACAGCTCACATCATGCCAGGTTAACCCTGAAAAACTCAATTAGTACTTAAAGTTTGTTATGTTGGACAAGTTTACTCTAGATGCATCTTCGGTTGTGTTGAGTGTTCTCTCTGGCTGTAGGGTAAACTACAACTCCCACTATGCTGAGTCTGTCTCCTCAAACCCCTCCACTAAACTGAGTTGGGCATGGGGGGTTTCTGTGTGCCAAGTCTAGTCCAGGTCCGTCATCGGTGGAGGCCACAGTTTCTCTGGTTGTGGATGAACTACAACTCCCAGAAAGGAAGGTCACCCCCCCCCCCCAAAAGGCCCTCTAATAATCAAATTTTGGCATATCAGGTATGTGTGCCAAGTTTGGTCCAGATCAATTGGTATTTGGGTTCACAGTGCTCTCTGGATGTAGGTGAACTACAACTCCTTCAGATCAAGGTGACTTTTCCTCAAAGACTTCCAGTATTTTTTGCTGGTCATGTCGACTCTGTGTGCCAAGTTTGGTCCAATTCCATCTAGAGTTCATAGAATCATAGAATCAAAGAGTTGGAAGAGACCTCATGGGCCATCCAGTCCAGCCCCCTGCCAAGAAGCAGGGATATTGTATTCAAATCACCCCTGACAGATGGCCATCTGTCAGTTGAGAGTTCTCATTGATTATAGGTGAATTATAAATCCCAGTACCTACAACTCCAAATGTCCAAGCCAATTCCCCTCAAAATCTACCAGTATTCACATTTGGGCATATCGAGTATGCATGCTAAGTTTGGTCCAGATCCATCATTGTCTGGGTTCATAGTGCACTCTGGATGTAGGTGAGCTACAACTCCTACAAAGGCCTCCAGTATTTTTTATTGGTCATGGGGTTTCGAGTTTAGTCCAGGTCCATCGTTGGTGGAGTTCAGAGTGCTCTTAGTTTGCAGGTGAACTATACATCCCAGTACCTACAACTCCTATAAATCATAGTGAATTCTCCCCAAACATCTCCAGTTGCTGATCAATTCCTCTGTTTGCTGTGTGCCATAGAAAAAAATAGGAAAGGCTTAAAGGAGAAGCAGTGGTCGGGGTTATGAAAATTCTACACCAATGGAGGGAGTCAGAAACACTGAGATGTCTGTGGTGGAGGAAACACATAAAATCTAGGATGAAATGGTCCCTGTATAAGAGCCTTCACTTGGGTGGTGGGCAGTATGGGGTTTTGTGGAGAACATTGGCACGGCTCTTGGACATGCTCACTATAACCTGCAATGTCATTGGAAGGAGGGAGGGCCTTTGGTGTCTCCTGAATAGTGAGAGCTATAGCTGTTTGTGGGGGCGGGATCTTGTCTGTAAGTGGACACCCCGCCACATACACACATGCATATTTTCACTTTTATTATGTGTATAGATGTGTATAAATATTATGCATATAGATAGATGTTGTGATCTCATGAGATTAGATCCAAAGTTTTTATTCCCCAGTGAGAGCACCCCAATGGCATTCAAAGCTCATAACATCTTTAGTAATAGAATGGGGAGATTGGGGGGCACCATCTTGATTCACCCCTTTCCACTGCACCCCCCCCCCCCACGCAAACCTTCCCATTATTCTAAAGGGAAGCTTCATTCTTCCAGAGCAGATTTGGCAGGGGGGACAGTAAGGAAATTAGCAAATATAATAAGATTGGGGTTTTTTTCACTGGAAGGAACAGCTGGGCTAAAAGTTGCTTCCCTTCTGTCCATGGGTGACCTTTTGTTAGAATATATTATATATTCTTGGTTTGTTTTTCTTTAAAAAAATCCTTGTACTCAGCTCAATAGAGAACTGAGAAAAGAAATTACGGAAGTTGTGCAAGCAAAAGTGCTGAAACAACAGTTCTGCATTATACGTGTTGTGCTCAAAAATACGTAATTCTGTTTTGACTTCAGAACTGATTAGAGCTGTCTGGCTGCTAGTCAGCCTGGTGAATAAATCAAATTGAACATTGAAATGCAAATTATTCTAGTTTAATTGGCTTGTGGATTGCAGTCTGTTTATGCTCCAGTGACCCTTACCTGACTTAACATTATATAATTCACCAAGTTTTCCTTCGTTTAAAACTAATGTTTCAGTCCTGCTGGTGGGCATGTTTTGTATATGCTTAATTAAGTGAAGTCTGTTAATACAGTAAGCCCAAACAGCAACTTTGCTATGGCATATCTGCCCACCTTTGCAGAGTTTTATTTAAGGCCACCACCCCCTAACACACACGCACATATTTAGTGGCATTTCTCCACTTTTAATCACAGTAAGAGAATGGCCACCCATTTCCAACTTTTTGGTTGGATAGTGGGGGACAGTTAGTGAGGTTGCTTTGAGAAATGCCAAGGGAACCAAATGTCCCACAGTTTACTTACCTACCCCATAAGGTCATTCCTGTTCCACCAACCTCACAGGCATACCTGATGGAAATGTGGGAGAAGCTAATAATAGTAGTAGTAGTTGATTCTTGCAGCCCAGGAGCAAGCCATCAGAATAAATGCAATTAAGGCCAGGATTGAAAAATCAGCGGATGACCCAAAATGCAGACTGTGCAAGGAAGCTGATGAAACCATGGATCATATCCTCAGCTGTTGCAAGAAAATCACACAGATGGATACAAACAAAGACACAACTCTGTGGCCTGGATGTTTCACTGGAACTTATGTCACAAGTACCACCTACCAGCAGTAAAGAATTGGTGGGATCATAAACCCGCAAAGGTTATGGAAAATGAACATGCAAAAATACTGTGGGACTTTCGAATCCAGACTGACAACGTTTTGGAACACAATACATCAGACCTCACAATTGTGGAAAAGAAAAAATCCTGGATTATTGATGTCGCCATACCAGGTTACAGCCACATTGAGGAAAAACTCAACCGCTATCAAGATCTCAAGATTGAACTGCAAAGGCTCTGGCATAAACCAGTACAGGTGGTCCCAGTCAGGCCTGTAGCCGGGGGGGGGGGGGGGGTTAGGGGTTCAACCCCCCCCCCCGAAATTTTTCAGATTAAAAAAAAAACCTGGTTTACTCATGAATTTTAACTGCTAAGTCTATGAGACGCAAAAAATTAAGAGTCCCTCCAGAACTGCAAGCACTATCTCAAGCAAATATTGACAATTTATTCACACTGTCATTACTTGCAGCAATAGCCGATGTAGTGAAGCAACCAAGTTGGGGGGGGGAGTGTTGAATGCTCTCATTAAGGAGGCCAGACTTGGTGGAGGTGGTTGACAGGGGGAGCTGCAGGCTATTGAAGGCTGCTCTGCCCCCTGCTGTGCTCTTTGCTTCAGTGTGAGCTAGGAGGCAGGTTTCAACCCCCCCTCCCAATTTTTCAACCCTCCCCAAAATTTTCAACCCTCCCCGAAATTTTTTTCTAGCACGTCCTATTCAAAAGCCAACTGCTATAGGCCCAGCGCGTGACAGCACAGTTACTTTGCAAAGCATTGTAGTTATGTGCTGTCAGATTTACTCTGATTTGTGGTGAACTTGTCATACATGTTTCTGGGCAAGATTTGCTCAAAGAAGGAATGCTAGTGTCTTCCTTTTGAGATGACAAAATATGATTTTCCCAAATGGGCTTCTATGGCTGATAGGATTCAAACCCAGGTCCCCCATGTCTTAGTCCAACACTCCAACAAGAGATATTTTGTAAGATATTCCTGTTTATTGCACTAAGCTTTTAAAAGGATCCAACGCATTGGCAAAGAACATGCAGATTCCAGGTTGGATGAAATCCAGGGTGAATCTGGATTAAGACTGTTGGCTTCAATTAGTTTAATTACTTTGTATTGAATAGAGGTATTATTCATAAGAGTTTTCATTAGTCGCAAAAATCCCAGTGGCTATGGGAACTGATTTCTTGGCTGATGAAAGATTGAACAGTGTAGTGTGTTTACATGTTTACTTCTCTTGCACAGATATGAAGATGAAATCTATAATCCCATACTGTTTGATGGTTGGATATTTTTTGTTGACTATCTTCTGTGGCACTGATACACATACATCAGCTCATAGGTAAGTCCTCTGCAGAGTGTTACAAGAAAAATGGTTCCTAACATCTCAAAGTCAGTAAACAATGTAAAAAAAGCAATAAAATATTCAGAATTAATCAAGCAGCCCACAAGTTCTACCAAAGAGCAACACAGGAAACCATGTAAGCATCTGTCAATTGGTTGGAATTATTCTATAACAAATCACTGACTGGAACTGAATGCCACTCCCTTGATATGACAAAGTGAAACTTCATGGTATATTTAACTTCCCTTTCTCATCAAACAAGGGCTGGATTTCCTAAAGAAACAAATAATCTCTAGGAACTGGGTTGTTGTAGGTTTTTTGGGATATATGTCTCTCCTGACATTTCGCCTGCATCTATGGCAGGCATCCTCAGAGGTTTTGAGGTCTGTTGGAACTAGGAAATTTGGATTTATATATCTGTGGAATGTCTGGGGTGGGAGAAAGAACTCTTGTTTGTTGGAGCTAGGTGTGAATGTTTCAGTTGGCCACCTTGATTAGCATTTGATGGCCTGGCATTTTTTGGTGTGGCTTGTCAGTGCCTTTGGGAATCTTTTGTTGAAATGTCAGGAGAGAATGCTTCTAGAACATGGCTATATAGCCCAAAAAAACCTACAACAACCCAGTGATTCCAGCCATAGACGCCTTCAATAATCTCTAGGAACATTGGAAGATAATTCAGTCTTACTTGTCTGCCAGCAAGTATTTAGTGAACTAGAAGAAGCAGTGATGTTGTGACCCCCCCTTTTTTTTCTTTTGTTGTGATTTCCAAATGTATTTTGCATTTTGATATTTACACCATCTATCCTGCAAAACTGACCTTGGTATCGTCTCTCCCTAGCTCCCTTTTTCTTAGGCCCCTTCTACACTGCCATATAAAATCCAGATTATCTGCTTTGAACTAGAATATATTACAGTGTGAACTCATATAATCCAGTTCAAAGCAGATAATGTGGTTTATCTGATTCGATAATCTGGATTATATGGCAATGTAGAAGGGACCTTAGTTTCCAGATCGTTATCTTGTTGCAGAGCAGACCCAGCTTACAATCTAGCAGAAATTCTAACTCCCGTCTGTCAGTTAGTTTCTTGGGTATAGATACCTTCCATATTCCTTTATATTTATGCTTTATAATATATGACATACACATCGTTGTTGTTGTTCATTCGTTCAGTCGTCTCCGACTCTTCGTGACCTCATGGACCAGCCCACGCCAGAGCTCCCTGTCGGCCGTCACCACCCCCAGCTCCCTCAAGGTCAGTCCAGTCACTTCAAGGATGCCATCCATCCATCTTGCCCTTGGTCGGCCCCTCTTCCTTTTGCCTTCCACTTTCCCCAGCATAATTGTCTTCTCTAGGCTTTCCTGTCTCCTCATGATGTGGCCAAAGTACTTCAACTTTGTCTCTAGTATCTTTCCCTCCAGTGAGCAGCCGGGCTTTATTTCCTGGAGGATGGATGGAGTCCATCCTCCAGGACATACACATCACTTTCCCTTAATTTTAATCTTTATGGCAGGATCTCAGTGGGGGTCATGGCAGTGGCAAGGCTGTTACTGTGGACATGGATTAGAGACATTAACCATTTGTCTTTTTAGGATTGCTCCAAATGCAAAAGACTGGTCTCTTCATAATATTAGCTCTCTAGGCCAAGCCACAGCTGTTATAATGACTACTTTTGTACATTTTATTACATTTTTATTACATTCAGTGCTGGAGGGGACTTCCCTTGCATTCATGTCCACAGTACTAATGTACAAAATTAGCTTTCCCCATCCTGAAGTCTGTTGCATGCTTGTGAAACTTCAAAAGCTCCCAGGGTATATCTTAGCCTTTTGGTGGCCACAATAAACGACACTGCTGCAGCGTGCATTTAGTTTTCCAGCCTGCTGCTTCAAGCAAAAGTGTAGGTAAATCACAGTCTCATTAATGGGACTTCCTAGTTTAATTATTATTGGTTTCATTATTATATCTGGAGCTGTGTTAGTTGTTCTGGCTATACAAGCAAGACTTACGTGAAAGGAATGCAGAAACTGTGCATTTACTATAGCTCTCACAGTGATTAATTTGCTTGAAAGAAAGTTGAGTGAGAGAGATTACCTTTTCATGCTAAGAATATTACTTTTGTCCCTTTGGTGTCTCTAGAGAAATGGTTTTTGCAGGCTTTTGTAGCATTGTGGAAATCTATTTACCAAAAGTAATGGAAAAAGAAACAGTCTAGTTATTTTAAAATAATCATGGCAGCCTTTTTTTGAAATAATTTTTTTTCTCCATTTCAATATGTTTTGTTCAATTTCAATATATTTTCTAGCAAACCATCTCAAGTTTTCTTTGCTAATGCATTGAATGAATGAAGCTTTGAGCCATGGTGCAGCAAACCTGTTGATGTTGATGAGTCTTAATGCACCCTTCAAAGTTTTCATTGAAGCAGAAGAAGCAATCCTCATTTTGTACAGAAAAGTGACTCGCATTTCAGTTATGGTGAACATTTTAAAAACAAGCTTGCAATTTTTTACTTCTTTGGATCAGTCTTTGTTGATTTATATTGGTAAAATGATAAAATCACTTATATTTCACACTTCTGTTGTTGAATTAGTCATAAAATGCTATAATATTGCATTAAAATGCAGTAAAATTACAGAATTGCTATATAATAGAGTATAAGAAATATTGAAATTCATTCTGAAAATGCTTCTGAGAAGAAAGGTCTTTGTCATCCTTTATGACAAGTTCCTATTTAACAGTCCAGTTCATTTATAGAACTAAAATTGCTAATTATATAAGTCATTAGAAAAGGCCTCAAGTTCTTTATATCAAGAAATGGACAACCTTAGTGCAGTGTTCTATTGTTGTATATCAAGTCTGATCAACTTAAGGCCTTATATTTTGAAAAACAAAGTAAAACCACTATGATTGTTGGCCCTTTATGACATGAATTCAACATTTCCTCACCTTCTTAACCTGAAGGAACCCTTTAAACATTTTTCAGGTCTCAGTGAATCCCAGCCTACAAATTATTATATCTCAAATTATTTTTTTTCCAACCACAAATCTTTTTTTTTTATGTCAGGAGCAACTTGAGAAACTGCAAGTCACTTCTGGTGTGAGAGAATTGGCTGTCTACAAGGACGTTGCTCAGGGGACACCAGGATGGGAGGCTGTGGGAGGCTTCTCTCATTTCCTTGCATGGGAAGCTGGAGCCGACAGATGGGAACTCACTCCACTCTCCAGATTTGAACTGGCAACCTTTCAGTCAGCAGTCCTGCTGGCACAAGAGTTTAATCCATTGTGCCACTGGGGGCTCCACCACAATCTCTGATGAATTCAAAAGTCACCTCTTACAGAACCCCAGAGTTACAGGGATTCCCAGTCCAGAAACCCTGCACTTGTTTTTTAAACATACTGATAATACAAAAGCATTTTTTAATATATTTCAGTGTTGATCACCATCATAAATGGGATAAGTTCTACTTCGTTCATCATTGGCCAGTAACTGTATGTAAGGTAAGTTGTTCTTAATAGGTGCATTACTTGGACATAGGCCTAGCAGGGATTTTCCTCTTCAGAATTCACAGTCTGAGGACAAGGGCAAATTTCAGATAAGGGCTACTTTGCCTGCTAAGCTTTGGAGGGCCCTTCCAGACAGGCCCTATACCTAAGGATCTCATTCCAGATTTTCTGCTTTAAACTGGATTATATGAGTGCGCACTGCCAGATAATCTGGGATGAACAGAAAACCCGAGATCAGATACTGGGATATAGAGCCTGTCTGGAAGGGCTCAGAGTTTTTTTTTACTTGTGTTTCAGATAACTGTGGAGGATTTGCTATTGTGGAAAGACCTCAACAGCTCTCAAGTTACATTTGTAGATGTCTTAAGTTTAAATATCCCTTGGTGCCATGTGTAAGACTAGAGAGTGATGTATGTAGGAACCCCAGCTCAGTTTCCCACTAAGCAGTCTGAATATTCCAGTTCTTTTAGCACAGGAATGGAGGATATGAATAGGCCATGGAGGATATTGGTCCATCATCCCTTACCAAAGACACTGAGGACTGCCACACACAGGGGCGGTTGAAGCAATAGGCAAGATACACATTTGCGTATAGCGCGAATCCCTGAGGGGTGCTCTTGAGGTGCCTCTGCCTCCGTGGGGTTCCCTCTCCAAAGCAGCAGCACCAACGCATTGGGGACAATGCCTTCCCCGCCCACCTTCCTCCTCCTCCTTCTCTTCCAAGGCCAGCCCCATGCGAGAGACACAGAGACACAAGCCCTTTCTCTCTGGTGCGGTATCTTGGTCTCTCTCTAGCAAGGAGCGCCCTCACGCCCGCCTCCTTCACGGTGCAACCAGGGAGAGGGGCTCTCCTCCTCCACCACCGCGTGGGCATACCACGCCATCCCACCCCCTGAGTGGGAAAGTGCGAGGGAGGAAGGAAAGCTCCTGGTCCTCCTCCTCCTCCTGCCCACAAAGGGGCCGCCCGGCAGCAGGGCAGGCAGAGCTCTTGCCTTTGCTCCGCCTGCTCTCTCGCTCTCTGCTCTGCGCCCCCTCTCCTCTCCTCCACCAGCCCTGGAGAACCCTGGGAAAGGGAGTCCTGCTCTAAGACCCCCCACCCCACAGCACACAGACAACACCGCCCATTGGTTGCCAACACCTTCAGGATGGCAAAGGGCAAGGTGGCTTGGAAATAATAATACAAATGAATCCATTGGTCACCAACACCTTGAGGATGGCAAACGACAATGTGGCTTTGAAAAACAACACCTCCTACCTTTTATTTTTCAGTGATTTGTTTGGGGGGGGGGGGGGGGCACCAAAATACTGTTTGCTTACACTTGAAAATTACCTAGGGCCAGCGCTGGCCACATGTTGCCCATCCCTTATCCTTCAAAAAGCTCTTCTGAGGCTCCTTGACTAGAGCAGTGGTTCTCAATCAGATGTTTTGGCCTTCAATTCCCAGAAATCCTAAAGGCTGGTAAACTGGCTGGGATTTCTGGAAGTTGTCAGCCAAAACACCTGGGGTCCCACGGGTTGAGAACCATTGTTTTAAAAAGATGGGCATAAGCGTTGGGTGACCTTTGTAGCCACTCCTCCAACATTGTGCTGCCCCACTGTGACATTTGGAAGTGACGTGAAGATGTACAGGGAACTCCAAGCTCAAAGACTGTGAGGATGTTTGGAAACTCCCAAGACTTCTGATTATGGATATTTCCATAGCCCTGTGCCATGTGGGAAAAGTTCCCTTGTTCATTGTTCATCAGATTAAATGTTGCACATGCCGCTAAATGACTATAATGTTACTTAAGGAGGGGGGTTCTGCTAACAAGATTTAATTTGAATGTGTCAAACTGCTCTGATGAAGTTAATACAAGATATACTGTAACTATTGGGATTTGCAAAATTTGCATCCCTACACTCAGTGGTAGCTTTCATATCACTCTATAGAAGTTTAGGCACATCAAGTTTATTGCCACTTCTGTTTGTTTGCCTGTTTGCTCACACCCACTCTTTTCCTGCTCCCATCATATCCTTTCCTTTGTTTTCTGGTGTCTTACCTGTGTTCATTCTGCTCTCTTTCTTCTTGCCTCTCCTTGTGTGAAATAAGCTCCCTCTACAAGAGATGCTCCAACTTTCCTGAAACTATGTGGTATTTTTTTATTTTCTGACCTTTCATCAAGAAGATGATATTGTGTTGATTATGCACAAGTATTCATACGTAAAACTCATTTTATGTTCCCTGTGATGAAGACCGAGTTTGATTCTTTTATGTGCTAGATATTGTGTGGAGGGTGGAGTGGGCTGGTGAGCTGTTCAAATTCTGCCTCACACATCAGCTGCCCTGCTTGGGAGATCCACTACAATCTCTTGTGTTACCCAAGAATAAGAATGCATTGTATGATTCATATTACAAGTGACTTGAGAAAATGTTCTGTGAAAAGCTATTATTACAATTAGTCATGTCTCTTCACTAATAGAAACTGTCTTTTAGTTGACAGATATATATTGGCCAATTAATTCTTCTGCAGTAATATGTATTAATGTGTGAAATGCAGGATTTCAAGGTGACATTATTTTGTATTCTCGAAAGTTTTCATGGCCAGAATCACTGGGTTGCTGTGAGTTTTCTGGTCTGTATGGCCATGTTCCAGAAGCATTATTGTCAAAGGCTTTCATGGCAGGAACCAGGCAGAGAAGCCAATGAAATCCACAAGCATGTGGCAATTTCAACAGAAAAGATCATGAAAATGAACAAAATCTGGCTACCCCTATTTAAAAAACTATAAAATTATAACAGTAAATAAAGAACAACACTCAAAAACAGGGGAATTCCAGACAAGAAACAATCGGGGCCACCTAATCACCTCCCAACAAAGAATTCCCCCAGGCAGTAAGAAGCCATACCTTGAAACTGCTAGGCCATTAAATGCTAATCAAAGTGGTCAATTGTAATATTCACACTTACCTCAAACAGACAAGAGTTCTTTCTCCCACTCTGGACATTACATAGATATATAAATTCCATTTTCCCAATTTCTAATAGACCTCACAACCTCTGAGGATGCCTGCCATAGATGCAGGCAAAACATCAGGAGAGAATGCTTCTGGAACATGGCCATACAGCCTGGAAACCCCCCAACAACCCACTGACATTATTTTATTTCCATACTGTTCTGTCCTAAGGATTTTAAGTTATAAACGCTTAAAGGTATGTGTCAAAAGCTAATGCGCCATCGACTCTAATGTGCACCTCAGTTTCCACCAAAAAAAAAGTATTTGTTGCTGAATGTAATACGCAGCATCAAACAGTGCCCTCTGTCTACAATAGGGATTTTGCCAGCCAGAAACTAAGACTCAAGTCAACATTTACAGATGTATTTATACAGAAATATTGAACTGTATACAGAAACAAGGCAGCTGATTTTTTAAAGTAAAAAAGTGTACCATTTCAGTAATGATGCACTAATGGAATTGTTTTTATATTTGAAAAGACTTTCCTACATCTGAAATCCAGGAAGTCTATAAGTATATTTTTAGAGGTTGAGCGAGTGCTCTTTTATCCTTCCAATCACCATCAGCAGTTTGGGGAAAAATGAGGAGCCAGAATATGTGTTTAGAAAGATAGAAATGGTATTCTGAACAAGAAGGAAGATTAGAGGATGCAGTATATCTGTAGTATGTGTCTATTTGATCACAAACTGGTGGTGCTATCCTGTGTATGGTATTATCTGTATTGCTCTTGTACAGTACTCTTAGGAAGGAAAGGAACAAGATTAGCCTGTTAAAAGCTGTTACTGGGCTTGCTCAGGACATGACTGCAAGCTACTTGTGTTTGTCAAATATAACTTTGTGAGAAGATAAATGACTAAATAACTTAGTTCAACTGTTGCTGGCTATCTTGCATGTAATACTTCTTCATTTCATGGTCTGAATTGAGACATTTTATATATTTCATCAAATTTAGATTGGGTCAGTGATATTAGTGTGCTTCTGGGCACTCAGTCAGTCAGGCAAGTCAAGCAGAGAAAGCAAAACAGTAAAGGATAGAAATCCAGGTATGGCATTAGGTCCATTGGAGATCATGCAGAAGTTTTCTGGGGCAGGGGAAGGGATCCAGGTAGGGAACCCAACAAGAGAACATAAAAAAGATTCACAGATAACTAGATGAGGCAATGTTTATGAAACTTGTACAGTGGGATCTGGCGTTTGGTTTTGGGACCCCCATGAATGCCACGATCTGTGGATGCACAAGTCCCATGATATTCAGAGGTTTAGCAAAATATATAAAATGGCAAAATCATGGTTTGTATTTGGAATTTAAAAAAAATACTTTCTGGTCATGCATGCTTGAATCTGTACATGCAGATGGTGACCTGCCTAGTCAAACTGTGCTGTCTACTGCTACAGATAAGCTCAAGTGAGCCACAGATAATTTCTGGATACATACAGGCAAACAGTGAAATGCAGTGTACATTACTTTAGGGAGGAGTGAAATGCAGTGTACATTACTTTAGGGAGGAGGAATTAAGAGCATAGATTTTCTAGAAAAACATACTTTTATTCAGAAAATAAAGCTATGATAGTGTCTAGTCTCCTACGTAGAAGAGCTTTTAAAAACCCAGCTGTGATCTGTGTAAGGAGCACAAAAGTATATTGGCTGGTGGGGACAAGGAGAAGGGAATATTGAAGAGGTAGGCAGTTGGAAAGCATCTAGGTACCAGAGTGTTACATTTGCTCTTCTTGTTCCGTGAGGGATCCCTTATGTGAGAGGAGAAGTGAGAAAAGGAAACCTTTTTTTCTATAATGAAACTTTACTAGGTAGGTCCTTCTGAAGGCAGGATCGAAGAAAATGACACCCAAAACTAGGATTACAAATTATGCTGAATGTCTTCTGTAGTGATGCAAGAATAGAACCTGGCCAATAGGTCACAGGGCAGATGGCACAATGTATTCATCTGAGATTTGTTTGTTTGTTTATACTCTGCTCCCCACTGGCACCCCCACAAGATTGGGACCCAAAACAATTGAGACCCAAAGCTGTTTCTGAAGCCACTTCAAAGTTTTCTTAGGAAAACTGCATTCAGGGAGTCTAAGATAGTCGTATTCTTTATGAACAAAAATTAAAACCAGTACAAGAGTTCTGGAATTACAACCGCTAATCTTTTTCTGCTTATCAAGGAGTGATGATGGTTTCACTAATAATAATAATTATAATAACAACAACAATCCCCCTCTCCTTGTAGCTCGAGATGGGGCACAACATGGCTAAAACAGAGAGATAAAACACAATACTATTAAAATACATACAGTGTTCCCTCATTTATTGTGGGGGTTCCGTTCCAGGATCCCCCGCGATAAGTGAAAATCCGCAAAGTAGGGATGCCATATTAATTTTAATATTTATACATTATTTAATACATTACCCACACTTCCTTACCCACCTCCCATCCCATCCCAAGGGCACCAGCCTGGCTCCCTGGCCTCCGCAGAGCCTCCGTAGCCACGCAGGCAGCAGCGGGCCAGGCAGGCAGGCCTTTTTGCCGTGCTTCAGGCCGCCGCACTTCCGGAGTCCCTGGCATCCACTGGACATAAATATTTAATATTTAATATTTTTATTAATATTTTCAAAAACCCGCAAAACAGAGAGTCTGCTAAAAGTGAATCATGAAGATACATATAAAACCAAAACCGATAAAATGCAGGTCAAAATTCTCAAGTTAACACTGGCTGGGCAGGCCTACTGGAAGAGATAGTAGTGAGTTTTATAGTCCTGTGAAGAACTCTTGAACTCTGGGAGGTTTACCTTTTGAGCAAAACGGAGTGCAAAATGAAGGCAGCAGGTGCTCTCTGGCTCAACTTTCAAATAAAACTAGATTGCCACAGTACTCAAATCATTTTTCCTCTTATTCCTGACAAAGTATCATATTCTCTTTGTGGCAATCTCTTCCAAATTACAGAAGTAAAAGGTGTGTGTTTTCTCCAGTCATCTTTTCTTTAATAGGCATTTCTGCCTTTGACCATCTCGGAGACAATACATCTTCTTCATGAGTCACTGGGCACCGTATTCAGGATTGTTAAGTGAATGATACTGACCCTCAAAAACCGTGTTCACAACCTAAGCCAAGCAAGCTTCAAACATAAATTGCTTTCCTTGGCAAAATGTTTAGTGAAAAAAAGATGCCTATCTGTCTTAATTGCTGCAGTTCTGCTGAAAGGCAATAAAGTAGTGTTTTTGATCCGTTTGGGAATGTAGTTCCGATGTTACTGAGTGTTGTTTGTTTATGCTACTTATTCTATATGGGTTTTGTTCAGCATAAAAATTGGCTTCCACTGATAAATGCATTGATTTATTTCTTCTAGATGAACGACAATGGTTGTAAAGATCCACTAATGTACTGGACAATCCATGGACTATGGTAATATTTCAAATCTTCTGAAATTTCATTAGACATGGAGAGTTTGTCTCAAATGATCTCGAGGGTTCCTCTCAGTGTTACATATGACCGCTGGCTCTTCTTTATCTGGAGAATTTCTGAGCAGTAGCTTGTCTTAGAAACCCGCAAGAAAGGAAACTGCTTAAAATAAATGATGTCTCAGTTCCTTCAAATAGTCGTAACTCCAATAAGGGTAATATGAGAAAACACAGGATGTTTAGCTTCATGGTCACCAGATGCTCAGATTGAAATGGTGGTGCTTTTAGTTTTACTTCTATTTATTTTTCCTAACTAAATTATATTTTAGTGCAGTGATTACGCATATAATATGGTCACTTGAACTGTGTCGATTAGCAAGCTGCTAACTCCTTAGGCTAGAAAAAAAACATTATGAATGTGTCATCTCTGTTTAGAATATTTAACCACTCTATCCTGAAATTGACAAGACAGGCAAGTGTACCAGTGCGCAATCAGTATTTTTCTAAATCTTCATAGTAGTGCTTATATGGTCTTTATCTCTGTTAAAATGCAAACATGGATTAGCAGTCATTCAGTTTTGTCATTCAGTTTTGTTCTTTGCCAAACAATGACAAGACTTCTTACATTAAAAGATGAAACAGAAGATACTGACAGTTGCTTTTAGATCCCAACAGGCATTTTAAACTTCAGAAAATTTCTCAGCTGTTTGTTGTAATAAATACGTTGTGTGGGCAATTTTGAGAACTTTTTGTTGCTGCTTATGTTTTGGCATTTTTATTCTTTCTTTTGAAAAAAATGAAAGGAAGCTGAAACTGTGCTCACATCCCATCTCCTAGAGACATTTTGAACCATCATATTGACTTGGAACTCTTAAAGGCATAAACAGTTGCTCGTAGTATAGCATGTAATATTTTGAGTATTAGTTTTTATAACAATAATCTCAGTTGAAATTTGGTTAACCTTTGTGATTGAGTTGCTGTGAGTTTTCCAGACTGTATGGCCATGTTCCAGAAGCATTCTCTCCTGACATTTCGCCCACATCTATGGCAGGCATCCTCAGAGGTTGTGAGGTCTGTTGGAGAAAGAAACCTTGTCTGTTTGAGGCAAGTGTTGAATGTTGCAGTTGACCTTGCAGCTTCAAAGCCCGGTTGGTTGCTGCCTGGGGGATCCTTTGTTGGGAGGTAGCCCTGATTGATTCTTATCTGGAATTTCCCTTGTTTTTTGAGTGTTACTCTTTATTTACTGTCCTGATTTTACCGTTTTTTAATACTGGTAGCCAGATTTTGTTCATTTTCATGGTTTCCTCCTTTCTGTTAAAATTGTCCACATGTTTGTGAATTTCAGTGGCTTCTCTGTGTAGTCTGACATGGTAGTTGTTAGAGTGGTTCAGCATTTCTGTGTTCTCAAATAATTTTCTGTGTCCAGGCTGGTTCATCAGGTGCTCTGCTATGGATGACTTCTCTGATGGAATTAGTCTGCAGTGCCTTTCCTGTTCCTTGATTTGTGTTTGGGCGATTCTGCGTTTTGTGGTCCCTATGTAGACTTGTCCACAGCTGCATGGTATATGGTAGACTCCTGCAGAGTTGAGAGGATCCCTCTTGTCCTTTGCTGAATGTAGCATTTGTTGGATTTTTTTAGTGGATCTGTAGATAGCTTCTAGGATGTGTTTTTTCATCAGCTTCCTTATGCGGTCAGTGGTTCTCTTGATGTATGGTAAGAACACTTTTCCTCTGGGTGGATCTTTGTCTTGACTTTCGTTGCTTGTTTTTGGTCTTTCAGCTCTTCTGATGTCTGTGGTGGAGTCTCCCAATTGAATATGAACCAGGACCAATCATGTTTAGCTTTCAAGATCAGACAAGTGCCCATAGGATATTTAGGACATTTTTTAGTCTATGCTCTTGCTAAGATTTGCCTTTTTAATCATGCCTTTGGAAGAGCCTGACAAACCTTTCTTTTATGAACTACTAAAAATGATCTGGAAATCATCCATATTCTGCTCACAGTATTGTTGTCACTACCTTTCAAGTTAGATTTTATTGATGCTTTGATAATATTTTACTTCATTAAGCAATCTGAATTTTTCTTTTGGGAAATAAAGCAGTATAGCAAATAATAATAAATACATAACATATTTGTTGAATTGTTAACATTTTTGTCAAGGCAAGAAGTTGTCATGTGCTGCCTGCCAGTATGAATTTTTCTAAAATGAACGTATTAGAATGTTTTGTTTTTGTTCTTCCATAGGCCAGATAAAGAAGAAGAGTGTAATAGAACTTGGCATTTCAATATATCTGAGCTTAAGGTATGAATCAAACTGTAGGCTCTTAACGTGGGTAAATTTGATTTGTTCTATTCACTGTATTTCTCAAAGTCGACTACAGTATGACTCACTCCCCTTCTGTGGACATGATATCTAGGGTGTCATGTAACCAGGCTACTGCAACACACTCTATGCCTTTGAAGACGGCTTGAAAACTCCAGTTGGTTCAAAGATCTGCTGCCAGATTACTAACCAGAGCTAGTTATAGGGAACGGTCAACCTCCCTGTTTCAACAGCTCCATTGGCTGCCAATAAGTTTCCGGTCCCAATACAAAGGGCAAGTTATTACCTATAAAGCCCTAAACGGTTCAGGACCTGCCTATCTTCATGACCGCATCTTCCCCTCTGAAACAGCACATACTCTAAGATCATTCGGGAAGGCTCTTCTCTCGCTTCCACCGCCATCGTAAGCACTGTTGGTGGGGATGAGGTAAAGGGCCTTCTCTGTGGTGGCCCCTCCGCTCTGGAACTCTCTTCCAAGGGAGATCAGACAGACCCCCACTCTCTCTATTTTCTGCAAGGAATTAAAAACCTGGTTGTTATGTTGTGCCTTCAATTAGGCATCTCACCAAAGAAGTTTCCGACCTCATCTAGGCTCCTGCACTTTGGCTTGGTCCCTTCTAGCACTTCTAACACTTTAATAATGTAATGGCATTAGCCTCCTAACTCAGCTTCCCATTTTGCCGCACTTGCCCTTGGGCCTGCACAGGAATAATTGCATTTAGGAATCATGAGCCCGAACCCAATTTTTGTTGTTGAGCCACGACACTGGTTTATGATGTTGTCTGATCTGATGTTTTATTGTTTTTGTTGTTTACTGTATTTCTGTATTTGCTGGACATATCCCTTTGTAAGTCTCCCTGAGTCCCTTATTATTATTATTATTATTATTATTATTATTATTATTATTATAAGGTGGGTTACAAGGTGCTCACACTATGGAATAGAACTGGAGGTCTTACAGCAGTAGTTTTCAACCTGTGGGTTCCCAGGTGTTTTGGCCTACAACTCCCAGAAATTCCAGTCAGTTTACCAGTTGTTAGGATTTCTTGGAGTTGAAGCCAAAACATCAAGGAACCACTGGCTTAGAGAGACCCATAAAATGAAGTGTTTGTAGACCTCCAGTTCTATGGTATGCTACAGGCCTAAGTATAGTCAAAATATAGACTTTGCTATTCTTATCCATGTCTTTAGCTATGCATGAGGATCCCGTGGATATGGGGATCATTCTGTACTTGTTTACTTGAGATAGATAACTCTTTTAAAAATAAGTTTCCAGGGATTTGAGATACATGATGTAGTAAAGCATTTTACATTTAGAAAAACACCATTTTATACTGGTGGTCTTTATTGGGATAAAGTACAGTGAACAAATCATGCAAAAATACATCTTTATGCAGATGATTCGTTGCAGTTGAGAGCTTGCCAAAGTAGATCTTTAAAAACCACAGAACCAAACCATTTAAAGTCAGAAGTAATTCTAGCATGGTTATAATGATAGAGTCAAATTCAAAATGTGCTGTACAATCTTAGCCATTTTAGGTTTTTTTAAATAATTCAATTTCCTTCAGAACTTGGTAGGTAGAGGTATAATACACCCAAGTAGTCATTAGAAAGTACTTGTGTGTTTTCTTTGATAAACATCATGGAGATCACTGTGCTGCCTGAATTTTCTGACTAGATAACAAGCTTTGCTTTTATTTATATTGCCACATGTCAGCTCTGAGGTTATGGGCATTAGCAAACCTCAGGTATACTTTTCCCTTCCTGCTACATCGATTTCCCTGGAGAAAACATCAAGATGTCAGACTACTGTCCTCCCCAGCTACGTATTCCAGTGGTCCTTTTGTTTTCTCTGCCTTCTAACAATTTAAGCAACAAAAAAGAGCATTCTGATTTCTGGAAGGATGCTAGTTTCTACTTATTAAGTGGCTGTTACAACAAAGATATGAGCTCAGCATGAGCAATAGGGATTGTCATTTAGGCTAAACCCTTTGAAGAAGCAAAGGTTTCCCACCTTTCTATAGAGCCAAATCTTGGTCTTCATTTTATTGAATCCAAGAGTTTAGCATCCTTGGCTGTGCAATGCAGTTTCAGATTCTGTGTTCTGTTGCTCAGTAATCTGATTGATCTTTAAAAAAATTATATGCTGCCCCTCAGTTATAAAGTCACTTAAGATGATATTCAGTTTTTAATAATATTTTAATAATTTATGTCACAGTTTCCTTTATTACAGATAAATATAAAGCAGCTTACAGATGATAGCAATAAGAAATATATAACCCCAGAATCATTTAAAACCAAGGCATATATAAATAGTAACACACAAAAACACACACCAGCTTACACACTGATAGAGTAGCATGGATCATTAAGACTTCCTAATTACTGGAGAATTTCAAGAATTCTATGACCTTACAATGTTCAGTTAGTCTCAATAATCTATGTTCCTCAAGCAGTATATAGACTCTGGGAGGAGAGAGGGTCAGCTTATATGTAGCACAAGATTACCATGAAAACATGGTTTTTCTCTCTAAAGTAGAGTGAAAGTAAATACTGACTAGACTTATTCATTATATCATGGACTCTAAGGCAGTGGTTCTCAACCTATGGGTCCCCAGATATTTTGGTCTTCAAAGCCCAGAAATCCTAACAGCTGGTAAACTGGCTGGGACTTCTGGAAGTTGTAGCCCAAAACACCTGGGGACCCACAGGTTGAGAACCACTGCTCTAAGAGATTGTAAAGTACCCTAAGGCTTCTACTTACATAAGTTAGTTCTTGCAGGAAGCTGTAACATGAAATTTGTTCATTACATCATTATCAGTGTTCAGAACTTGATAGTTTTGCACCATAGCTTTGAAAATGGCATTGCTGTACCTATGCGTCCACTACAGCACATACCTTGGGAAACCTGATGCAGTCCATGGCTGCATTGTCATTTTTGCCTTTTGGTTCTGTAGAATGACTTTTATTGTTGTTGCTGCTGCTAGGATTTAATGGGAGACATGGAACAGTATTGGCCAGATGTTCTTCATCCAAATAACACCCATTTCTGGTAAGTTGTGTAACTTTTATACATGTTGGTAGCTTTATCCCACAAAAATGTATTTTCAACTGATTATTTTACATGGAAATACCCCAATTGCTGTATGGAAATGAAACAGAATCACTTCTAGAAATACGCTTTCATGGTTTTATTGTCTTTTTCAAATAGAGATAGATAGATAGTAGATAGTCTCTTTAGTGCAAAAAAATTTATTAGAATCGTAAGCTTGTTAATATGTTAAATCTCCTGAAGGAATCAGTATACTAGAGCCAAGTGTCAGTGACTTCAGTTACTGACATTCTCAAATAAAATTTTATATTTCTAGTATGTTTGGGGAGCAAGGTTTATTTCTTGTTTTAGAGCAGGGGTCCACAAACTTTATAAACCGAGGGTCAGGTCACAGTCCCTCAAACTGTTGGAGAGCCGGATTATAATTTGAAAAAACATGAATGTCCTATGCACACTGCACATAAATTATTTGTAGTGCTTTTTTGAAAATAATGCAGTAATTGAAATTAAGAACAATTTTAACAAATATAAAGTTATTAGTATTTCAATGGGAAGTGTGGGCCTGCTTTTGGCTGATGAGACAGGATTGTTGTTGCTGTTGTTGTGTGCTTTGAAGTCATTTCATACTTAGGTTGACCCTGAGCAAGGGCCGGGTAAATTATCTTGGAGGGCCGTATTCGGCCCTCGGGCCTTAGTTTGAGGACCCCTGTTCTAGAGCTCGGCAGTAGTGATTACTGGAAACCTACTTTCACAATTATGACCTCTATGTCTCCATTGTTCACATTTTATCAAGTAATTGATACTTGGACAAATTTGTGTGACTGGCTGTCAATCCGATCTAAACATTTGATTGCAACACTAAACATATTTATTTACCTACTTAATGGTGTATATACAGCCATGTATTAGATGTTCTGGGATACTTGGGTTGGAAGCTATTGCATTTGACATAATGGGAGAATTTGAGGCATAGTCATAGCAGCATATATATAATTCCATAGTGAAAGTCCAAAGTAAAAACTACCATTTTATTTATATAGCACAAATATAAAACATGAACATGTATATGTGCTTATATGTGACTCCAGGCTATCTGTAAACTTATAGAGACTCCATAAATTTCATAGCGTTTTCTTAGACAAAGAATACTCAGAGGTGGTTTTGTCAGTTCCTTCATCTGAAATATAGCCTATAGCACCTGGTATTCATTGGCGGCCTTCAATCCAAGAACTAATAAGAGATGACCTTTTATTAGCTTCCATGATCAGACAAGATCTGTTGCCTTCAAGGTATTTGGGTATATAAAATGTGCGTGCAATAATTTTTTAAAATCAAAGAAAAGTTGAGAATACAGAATGCAATTTGCTATCATGTGCCTCTGGGCACACGTTTTAAATCAGTCTTTGAAGATTGAGCATGCAGACTCCTGGCTTACTATTTCCACCATAGTTGCTCCTGTTTCTCTAATTCTGTAACCTTGAAATGAAGGAGAGGGAAAAAAAAGTTACAGAAAATTCTGTAACTTTGAAAGGAAGAAAAATCAGCTTCAGTGCTGATGATGTTTATTAAGGGAAGGAATCCAGCAATTGACCTTTGCTAGTTCGTGATACAGTCAAGCTGGTGACATTATCTTTGATATGTGGCAAATGGAAATCAGCTAGGAACAAGGATGAAATTATATTCTTTTCAATTTGATTAATGAGAAGAAAGATAGTTTTTGTTGTTATATTAGAGCTATCTGGATTTGTGGTTTCCATAGTTTCCAATTGCTTATGAGGCAGAAACGACAGAAACACTGAATCTCTACACTTGGCAAGATTTTCTCTGAAGCTGTCCTAACAGTTACCTGTCAAACTGGAGATGGATAGCACTATGAATCCAATCCTATTAAGAATACTCCACTGACACAGAAAACATTTGCTGCCTGAATAATAGAACATGTTTTAAGTGCTCCAGATCTTGGGGGGAAAGTATGAAAACCTATAATTCCAATATTCTGATATAAGTCAAGGGTAAGGCTAAATTAAGGAGCTTATAAAGGAAGGTTTCCTATGTCCCTTTTCCTTCTGATACCCACTATACTCCAAAGGAAATCCTCAGCAAATGGTCAGAAATCTTCTTTAGCCCTTGAGATGGAGCATGGCATTGCTGGAAAAGGGAGAAACTCTCAACCTGTGGGTTCTCAGCTTGTTGTTCCCCAGGTGTTTTGGCTTACAGCTCCCAGAAATCCCAGTCAGTTTACCAGCTGTTGAAGGCCAAAACATCTGGAGACCCACAGGTTGAGAACCACTGCTCTAAATCAACTGGAGGGATGCCCAGATTTAAGGTAATTTTTAAAGGCACTGGTAGTAGACTATGAACCTCATCACGTACGGTTCAGGAGAGCTCACTAAACTTCATTCGATTCATTTTTTAGAAATGAATTTCTCCACTGAGTTTAATCCAATATCTTGTTTTTTTTATCTTTCCTTTTTAAAAAATGCTTTTCAGTATTTTTTTTGAAGTGTTGAGCTACACATAAATTTGTACTAATTGGCTAAAATCCAAGTTGTAACCCGCTGCTACTTGAAGAGGCTACTGCCACAATCTGCAAAGTAACTCTGATGGGCTGGAATCCTCCAAAGCAGGGGGAGGCTGGAACAGAAGGGGAAGAAAGTCCCCATGCATATCTGGCCCTAGGGACAAAAGCATACCATTAGATCTTAGCCATAATATTCTTTAGTGTTAATGGGCAATAGCTTCAGTGGAAGATTCTGAGATTCCTTTTATACAGATGTTTTTGTCACGTTCCCAGACCTCCTGATTTTAGAGCTGATGTTAAATTAAACAGAAGCAAGATAAATCAAGATCATATTTACTTATAAAGAATACTAAGGTCTTGAATCTTTCAAGGTCTGGCCAAAATAACAGAATAGTGACGTGTGAACAGAGTAACAATGAACACAAGCCGAGTACTATAGAACTAGTTTAGGAACAACAACAAGCAATATCCAAGGTTACAATGAAGTAGTCATATACCAAAAGTTCAATTCAAAGTTTATAAATCAAAAACCAAGAATGCAGGAAGACAAACTGAAGTCAGAGTTCCAAAGCCATGCCAGATAATCAGGAAATACAAACTGAAGTCCAAGAAGTCAGTCCACAATGTAGAGCCAAGGGTTCAGGATACAATGGGGTCCAGAACAAGGTAACAAGAACCATGGTCAGAATCTAAAATTCTAACCCAAGGGCAGCAGAGCCAAGGTCCAGTACAAAGGTACAGTGATGCAATGTGATCTGCTTTGAAGACCTATTCTTTTCTGGGTACTTTTATCATAGGACCTCAGCTGTTGCTTTCAACAAGCCATCTCAGGTAATCCCAGAAGCCTATGATGCATTCCTTGAGGAGGAGGAGGTTAGATTAACCCCTTCCAAGGTTGCTGCAATACTGAGATCCTCCTCTGCTGGAGACCTGCCCCCAGCAGCAGCTGAGCCAGGGCAGACAGACTGCTGACCTTTATACCTTTACTTGCTCATATTGTAAAAACAAACTTAAAAAATGAGTGCTATATTATGTACAATCTTTCCACACGCTGATATGAAAGAAGTGTTCTCTTCCTCACGCCTTCCTAAAACGATTTCTGGAAAAAAGCATTGCTCGTGCAGTTCTGAAAAAGAAGCATTGCTCTTGGGATTTAATGGCTGGTGGAGGATGTGAATAGCAGAGACTTTCAGAGGCAAAAGTGTTGTTTAATTAGGTTTAAGATTTTAATTGGGAATTTTATGTTGCACAATTTTTTCTGGACATATTTATGCTTAAAGATGTAGCATTTTGTTTTGTTTTGTTTTGTGTAGGAAACACGAATGGGAGAAACATGGAACTTGCGCAGCTGAGCTGGAATCTCTTAATTCTGAGAAAAAGTACTTCAGTAAAGCACTGGAACTCTATAAAAAACTTGATCTGAATAGGTAGAGCAAATTTTCAGACTTCTGCAACATCTGATCCTTGGCAGGTGGATTGATTCAGAAAGAACTCACTGAAGATTAGAATCTGGTTTTGGCCAATAGCAATATAGTATGCAAATAGATAACATATTTACTCAAGTCTAACGCTCACTTTTTTGGTTAAATCACATTTGATGTGTGCACCATTAGATGTGATGGTGCATAAACCAATGCACATGAAAAGGCCTGGGAGGGACTTGAAACCCCAGAGAAGCACGAAGAGGCTTCTTCCACTGGTGGCGACACCTCAGACCTCTGTAGAGTCTGGAAGAGGAGGAGGTCCCAGTCATTCCTGCTGCTTAGACATAGATTCTTCTTCCTGGGCAGTCCTCGGGGTCTCTCACCCCTGTAGGATCAATACAGTTTGACACCACTTTAACTTCCATGATTCAATGCTATATAACCCTTGGTAGCTGGCCTCATTCACAAGGCCTTCAAAACCTGCACTTCAGTTTTGAAGGCCTCATGAATAAGGGCAGGTGAGAATCGTGCCTGATGGAGGGGCATGACTTCCCAAATACCTCATTCACATTGCTTGTCTCCCTAATGAGCTATGCCTGCATTGTTGGGTGCATTACATTTGAGGACAAATCTATTTTTGGTAATGTATACCTTCAAAACCGAGGTGCACATTACATTTGATGGTGCATTATGCTTGAGTAAATACAATATTTCCCCTATTTGCTCTGTGCAACTTTGATTTTTAAAAGTGTCAGTGCTCATTATTTACATTGGCTTTTAACTTTAATTGTTGGCGAATGCAATGTGCAGTGCAATGCAAATAGCAATTATTAGGCAGTAGTCCTCATAAATTTTAGTGAAAATGCCTATTATGAATATGGTTTGCTAACAAACGTGCTTCATGGACACACACATACGCCTAGCTATGATAGGTGAATAAGCAAAATATCATTACTTGGAACACCTCTCATAAATAAATGAAACATTTAAGCTGTTTCTCTTGTAGGCTAGGCAAAAATGAAATACAGTACACAGGGGGCTGTGTAGAGAATAAAGTCTCTGCTGATACAATCTATATTGCTTTGAATGTATTATGTTCATGTGGATGCTAGATACAATCATCATCACCTCACATAGGCTAAGAATGCCCAGTTCTGTCCACTAACTATATCTTAAACATAATAGAGGCAGACAAACACTGTGTTATAAATGCATGCATGCCATTACTATCCTTCCCTTTAAAGAACTTCCGATAAGTTTTCAAGGAGCCCTAATATTTCCTGGAACATTGTTATCCTGCACTGCCCTCAGTAACTGATTGCATATCAGCCATCTCATTCTTTGCAAAGTTTCATGAATACAAGTAAAGTCCTGAAGTTAATAAATGTCCTTGGTGAGAATATTTTGAATAGCATGATGTGTTTCATGGAAGACTCATTTCTAGTCTTTCAGTTTCATGTCAGTAGGCCAGCATTGCTGACAAGGAAGCAGAGGCTAACCTTTGCAACACAAAACCTGTCCATTGCAGAATAACTTATGGATCAATGAATACTTTCCTCCATATTCATTGCACACACAATAAGCAGTATAACAGCTTGTTAGGGCAAGACAGCGATAGAAAGTAATGTCTGCAAAAATGCTATTAGAAAGGCCAGATAGTTGACAGAAAGTGGTTTTTCTAGTTACATTTTTCTTTCTAACCTTTATATAGCCTTCTCAGCACAGTGATTATTGACATACAGGAACATGTAATTGATTCTATTTTTTCATTGCTAAATGAATGTTTTCTCTTTCAGTTATCTCTTGAAACTGGGGATAAAGCCAGGCAGCACCTATTACCAAGTAAGAAGAGGCATGACTTTGCATTGTACTCTTTCATAAAGGAGGAACCTTGACATATAGTTATAGCTTGGTCTCCAGAATATCTATTTAAAAACTCTGTGTTTTGCCATGTGAACCTGCACATGCTTTTTGTTCTTTGAGTTTTCTCTTGGTCCCACTTTTCCCACAAGTACATTGGATAGAGGGCACAAGAGATGGTCTTTGCCGTGACTGCTCCCATGCTGTTAGTCCCTCCCATAAGAGGCTTTTTTTCCATTTAATTTGTAATTTTCCTTTAATTTATAGGCTGTATTTCTTCTGGTAATAAGATTACATTTTTTTCAGTATTATAATAAAAATAAAGGTTTCCCCTTGACATTAAGTCTAGTCGTGTCCAACTCTGGGGGGTTGTGCTCATCTCCATTTCAAAGCCGAAGAGCCGGTGTTGTCCGTAGACACCTCCAAGATCATGTGGCCAGCATGATTGCATGGAGTGCTGTTACCTTCCTGCAGAAGTTGTACCTATTGATCTACTCACATTTGCATGTTTTTGAACTGCTAGGTTAGTAAGGAGCTGGGCTAACAGCAGGAGCTCACCCCTCTCCATGGATTCGAATCGCGACCTTTTGGTCCTCAAGTTCAGGAGCTCAGTGGTTTAACCAGCTGTGCCACCGGGGGGGCCATTTCAATATTACTTGTATAATGACCCTTTAATGTCACAGTTAATTGATTTTTAGCTTTATTCATGTTGTAAATTGCCTTGGGTGCTGCAGTGCAAGAACACTAAAGATGCACATACTTACATTATATGGTATGTTTGTCTTAAGGTCAAAATGTATTTAAAATTGTATTTGGGTTACTAATCTCTTTCCATAGTGCCAGCAAGATTTTGCATACCAAACTTTTTTATATGAAAATGCCCATTTGGTGTTTTGAGACTTTCAATGGTTTTATGCTTAAATCTTCAGATGGCTGCCATCAGAGAAGCTCTTACAAAGGTTTATGATGTAACACCAAAGATTCAGTGTCTCCCTCCAGAAGAGGTACCTCTTGCTTTCTTAACAATTTCCTAATTAATCTCCATTCCCTAATTTCAAAGACATTTTATCTTAATATTTGGAAACCTGAAATGGGACTAGGAAAACTGAGCCATCTTGTAAATACATTATATTAAGCTGTACTATTTAATAGTTCTGTAAAATATGAGAGATTGAACTACTTCCCCAAATGTATTTTTGTTCATGTCTGTATCCTTTTCAGAATACATTAATTCTGATTATCTAGAAGACTTCTTCTTATAATTTTCTCTCTCTTCATATTACTCCTTGAAGTAACCAAGTGTATCCAAACCAAAGACAGGAACATATGTACCTGAAGACACAGGATGTTTTCTTTTTAATTAACCGTGATTGTCTCAGTTAATGAATAAATGACAACTCATTCAACATTAAAGTACATAGAATTCAAAGACATATTCAGGTTAGTCTGGGATATCAGTATGCAAAGAAATCTGGTAGCGTCTTAGAGACGGAGAGAATTAATTTGGTAGCATGAGCTTTTGTAGACTGCCTCCTTCCTCAGATGCATTGGAGCACATAGTATGGGATTTAGTACAGTTGTTGTTTTTCTTAATTCCACATTTGTGATTCATTGCTCTTGTTGTGGAACATTTCATAGCGATAGACAGCTGCTCGTCTCCCTACCCTTCGACTCCATAAACTGTCAGTCTCTGAGATGTTTTGACTGTTATTCTCTTCTTGGGAAAATGGCAAGTTAAAGATGCTTTGAGAGCTTAGTATTGCCTGTGTTGTCAAATGTATTTGACTTTCACAGGAATGAATTGATGTGACTCTCGTATGATTATGCTGAACGTGAATTGCTGTTGTTGATGATGATTATGTTGTTTCAATCCTTTGAATTAACTGTGAGTCCTAAGAATTGTTTTAGGCATGGCAAGAATTTACTTTTAATGCCTAGGAATGCTCTGCCCGACTTACCCATGCAGAGACGTTGTGGCAGTGGATGTCCTCCCACCTGCCATGGCATTAGTAGGGGGCTTCTCCTTCCCAGAAGACCCCTCAGTGGCAGGAAAGTCCTCGCTGGTGGGGCAGCCAGCCAATCAAAGGCAGTCCTTGCTTGTCCCCTGATTGGATACAGCCAGCTGCCCCCAAGCATCGGGCAGCCTCTTTAGGCTGCTTCAGGCCGTGTCAAGCAGTGGGCCCGATCCCCAATCCAGGACCCATGCATGGCTGCCAACCCTGATTTCTTCTGTAACCAATAAACAAGTTGTGGCCTTTTGTCATCCCAATCCTGTTTGTGTGTAGTAATTGGGTTTGCAGGCAGGAGGCATTAGTCACACATGCCCATGCAATAGGCTTTGTGGATAAAGCTTTCTACTTGCTGTTGAACTTGGAGAGTAGCAGGAAATTCTGGGAATTGTAAACCAACAGCATCTGGGGGGTTATATAATTCCCATTCCAGCTCTATAACATGTGGCTTTCTCCACACACTTTAGCCAGGGGACAGACTATTTCAAACTGCCTAGTACTTTTGTATCAGATAAGGAAATTTGAGAAATACAGTTTCGAAGTTAATGTGTACAAAGTTGGTTTTTTTTAGTCATGTCAGGAGCGACTCGAGAAACCAAGTCGCTTCTGGTGTGAGAGAATTGGCCGTCTGCAGGGGACACCCAGATGTTTTGATGTTTTTACCATCCTTGTGGGAAGCTTCTCTCATGTCCCCGCATGAGGACCTGGAGCTGATAGAGGGAGCTCATCTGCACTCTCCCCAGATTTGAACCTGCGACCTGTCGGTCTTCAGTCCTGCCGACACAGAGGTTTAATGTACAAGGTTATCATTATAGTGACCAATTTTTCTGGATAGTGACCAATTTTTCCTGGAATAAAATTACATTGAGATGGATAACACTACTGACATTTCTGAGGAATAATTTCCTATTGAAGCCATTGACATCTTACCCCTGCCCCCTTTCCCCCTCTTCCTATGGTAAAATATGGGTTTTGTTTTCTATATGTCCGTACAGTTTGAGGAGATAGGTTGTTTCCTGAAATATACTGTTTCTGCTCTATCAGATAATGAAAATACACACTGATTAATTTCTAGAAATGAAACAATTAAACAGTATAAAATAGCTGAATCGGTTTGAATTAATAAGTGAATCCCTTATCTGTGAAAAATTAGTCACTTAAAATAGTGTCCACATTTTCCCACCACAGAGATAGAGCAGCTTCAAAAAGACAGATTTTAGCTAAGTAGTTCTAGGACAAGTGCTAAGACATTTTAGTTTATGTTTCATATATTTCTTGGCCATCTTGACTAGATAAGTATTCTCCATTTTAATTTTTAAAACTGGATGAGTAATATTATGTACACTGGGTACTCATTTAATTGAATTGTTTCTGTAACTATAAATGCAGTTGGCTTCTAATTAAATGCAGACATTCACTCTTAACATTTATCTAACTTTCCTTTTAATCCCACAAAGAAAAAGCTAATAATATTTTTCTATAAGGTTTCCTATATATCATTTTCTCTTTTGCAGCTATAAACGTTGTGGTCTTTCAAGCTTGGAGCTCAAATTTTGCTTTATTTCTCTTCCTCAGGGTCAACCACAGATAATTGGTCAGATTAAATTCTGTCTCACCAAGGAGTATGACATGAGAAACTGTACAGAATCAAAGGCTAGTTCCTTTTCTGCCCAGAAAGATAAGTTTTTCAAGACAGAAGATCTCTCCAACTGCAACGATACCCTGACATATTATCCTTCACATATAAATGCTTGGAAGCACTTTGTGGGAAATACTGTTTAACTTGTCATGATGTAAACAAACATCATTGTTCAGAGACAAAATGTTATCCCAGAAGAATATTGGGAAACTGTAATGTGTAAGTCTTCCTTATAATGGATGCATGTGAACAGAATAACAGTATGGTTATCAGGGTTGTATAAATGGATTTTTGTTTCTGGGAGAAAAACATTTTGCATTTTTGCTGCTAAAATATATTTTCATCTGGGTTTTGAAAATGAACTTCATATGTTTCTGAAATTTATTTTTGAAGCTGAGCCATTCTCTCTACTTCTGTCTGCAAGTGATTGTAGTAAAGTAGGTTTCCAACTTAGTTGGTAATTTCATCAGGGTTTTTTATGTAATATCTTCCTGTATCTTAAATAACAGTATGAAAATATTATTAATATCTCAAGTTCAAAAGGTAGTTTTGTGAGAATTGTGTCTTTAGAGAATTAACAACTACAACAATGTGTGTAATATGTTGTTGTTCATTCGTTCAGTCGTCTCCGACTCTTCGTGACCTCATGGACCAGCCCACGCCAGAGCTCTCTGTCGGCCGTTACCACCCCCAGCTCCCTCAAGGTCAGTCCAGTCACTTCAAGGATAACACCCATCCATCTTGCCCTTGGTCGGCCCCTCTTCCTTTTTCCTTCCATTTTCCCCAGCATAATTGTCTTCTCAAGCTTTCCTTTCTTCTCATGATGTGGCCAAAGTACTTCATCTTTGCCTCTACTATCCTTCCCTCCAGTGAGCAGTCAGGCTTTATTTCCTGGAGGATGGACTGGTTGGATCTTCTTGCTGTCCAAGGCACTCTCAGAACTTTCCTCCAACACCACAGCTCAAAAGCATCGATCTTCCTTCGCTCAGCCTTCCCTAGGTCCAGCTCTCACATCCGTAGGTTACTACAGGGAATACCATGGCTTTGACTAGGCGGATCTTTGTTGCCAGTCTGATGTCTCTACTCTTTACTATTTTATCGAGATTGGACATTGCTCTCCTCCCAAGAAGTAAGCGTCTTCTGATTTCCTGGCTACAGTCTGCATCTGCAGTAATCTTTGCACCTAGAAATACAAAGTCTGTCACTGCCTCCACGGTTTCTCCCTCTATTTTCCAGTTGTCAATCATTCTTGTTGCCATAATCTTGGTTTTTTTGACGTTTAGCTGCAACCCGGCTTTTGCGCTTTCTTCTTTCACCTTGATTAGAAGGCTCCTCAGCTCCTCCTCGCTTTCGGCCATCAGAGTAGTGTCATCTGCATATCTGAGGTTGTTAAAGTTTCTTCCAGCAATTGTGTAATATAAAAAAACTATTTTAAACATCGCATGCCATGTGGTCATTTGTTACATCAGCAAGATGTCTCTGGTCGCAGTGGCAATTGCAATGGCATATGCCTGGTTTCCTCCAGAGTCATATTACTGAATTTATCAAGTTGATTTACAACATGGCGGGGAAAATGCGGCCCTCCAGATAATGTTGGACTGCAACATGTATCAGCCCTAACCTCTAAAAACAAATTAGCAGTCCAACAACATCTGGAGGACTACATTTTCCAAAAAAAGGGGAGAAAAGAAAATTGGTTACGATAGAGACAAAAAGAAAAAAAAAAGAAAACAAAGGACATAGAACATCAGCCTATAGGATATAGTGTCACAGGTGCGGCTGGCGGGAACGAGGGACAGGGCCTTCTCAGTGGTGGCCCCCCGGCTATGGAATGCCCTACCAGCGGACATCAGGCAGGCCCCTTCGCTATTGGCGTTTAGGAGGAGGGTTAAGACGTGGCTCTTCGAACAGGCGTTCGGATAAATATGCAATAACAACTGACTCAGGAATTACGGCACATTGAACAAGGAATGGTAATACGACTGTGAGATCGAGATCTGATTCTAATGAGGCGTGATGATTTTTATGTGTATTGTTTGTGTATGTTTGTTATATAGATTGTTCAGTGTTGCACATTTTATTGTAAACCGCTTCGAGTCGCCTTTTAGGCTGATATTTGCGGTATACAAAAGAAGTAAATAAATAAATAAATAAATAACAAATTAGCAGTCCAACAACATCTGGAGGACTACATTTTCCACACCAATACTCTAGAATAGTGGTTCTCAACCTGTGGGTCCCCTGGTGTTTTGGCCTACAACTCCCAGAAATCCCAGCCAGTTTACCAGCTGTTAGGATTTCTGGGAGTTGAAGACCAAAAACATCTGAGGACCCCAGGTTGAGAACCACTGCTCTAGACAGGAGTCCTTTGTCCCACCTTGGTCATTCCACAGATATATAAACCCTTTTTCCTAGTTTCCAACAGACCTCACTACGTCTGAGGATGCTTGCCATAGATGCAGGCGAAACGTCAGGAGAGAATGCCTCTAGAACATGGCCATATAGCCTGGAAAAAACCTACAACAACCCAGTGATTCCAGCCATGAAAGCCTTTGACAATAACAATAATACTTTATTTGTACCCGCCGTATCTCCCCGAGGGGACTCAGGGCAGTAATGGTATAATATGGGATTTTTTAAAACTCAAGTAATGCTATAATATGGGAATTTTTTACTCCAGAGAAAAGGTAAAAGGGCCAGTATCCATTCCTAGCCTATCATTACTTTCTTTGAAAGGGAGCAGGGGGGTTGTGTATGCAAAGTCATTGTGTTTTATGCCAAATACCTTTTCCCACAAAATTGCTGTATTTTACTTGACATACAATCGGGGCTTATCAAAAGTATTTTGTTTTTGTTTTGTTTTTTATTTTAAAAAAATCAAAAGTAGGATATTTTTGTTTAAATCATAATAAATATATTCATTTATTCGTGGATATTTAGCAATATTTTATAAAAGAATGACATCATTCTATTATAAATGATGATTAAAGAAAATCTTCTTTGCTATGATTTAAACTAGTGAAATTGGGTCCCTCAGAGAAGGGTTTTAAATTATGGTTAAAACAGTGTTATTAAAATCACCCCAGACTGCAGTGTTTTTCATGCAGATGAAATTTTCACAAACAAGTCTCTAATTTAAAAAAAAATCATTGAAAAATGCAGAAAAGTTTTTATATTCTCAACTACATAAGAGACAATTTAATTTTCTTTTTTTATTTTCACATGCAGAGAGAAAAGAAAACTTGCATCCCTTTTGTTGGTACATGTCACAATGTATTTACACACATAGTGCATCGTTTTAGGCAATTTTTATTTTGGGTATTGTCATGTAACTTTTTTCAACAAGGTAGATTACAGATCATTAGGTAGGTTACAGTTTTGATGGTAAAGTGATCTCTGCAAGCCAGTAAATATGTTCTTTCTGCGACGGAAAATTTACTCTCTCTTTGTATATAGACTGATAAATATTTCACCAATATAAAAAAAATCCATGTATATCTTGTTGTGTTTCTTTTTCAATAAAATTGCTTTACTGTCCTCTTTTCTAGGTAAGTTTTTTTAAAATGAACACAAAATAGATGCTGTCACAAATTGTTTAAGTAAACAAATTTAGAACTTTCTTTTTGCATTGACTTTTTTCTTGTAAATTTACCATCCTATAAATTGGTTCTTCTTTTTTTTCTAGGCAAAACAATGTTCATTTTTGCAGAACTTGAAAACTTTATTGATACCTTTAGTCATTTGGGACTGTAAAGTCAAGGACACAGATTTTCACCTGAGCTCAGAAGCTGATACATTTGGGGAGGGGGGCTTGGCATGGTGATTTCCAAAAGTGCCCCTCTCTCAGCTAACCTGTTTTTTCCCCCTTTATATTTTGGGGCAGCCAAAGGAAAGAGCTTTGCCAGTCACAGTGCAACATATTTTCATGTATTTATTTATTTACTTCATTTATACCCCGCTTTTCTCACTCTGCAGAGGACTCAAGGCAGCTTACAAACTCCGGAAAAAAATGAATGCCTCATCATAGACATAGCAATAAAACCAATATAACAATAGACATACCCACCATCAAACATATTTCCCCCTTTGGTCATACTGGCTAATTGCTAACTTCAACTCGAGTTGCCTTTGTTGCTTACTCTATTAGGGAACTGAAATGGCTTCCTGCTCTTTTTTTGTTGGATTAATACCCTGCCTTTCTCTCAGAAGATGGTTTAGTTCAGCTCAAACATAGTGAAGGGGGTGCGTACTGTAGGACTGAAGCCTCCAAATATTTCCTTTGATAAGAGTCAGGGTGGTGATTCTGCTCCTTGTCAAGGAGCATGGAGCAGAGCTCAGAACCACAAATCTTTGCCCTGTACTACAGTATCATTGCGCAGAATCAGATAGGCAATCGTTATTCTCAACTCCAGGTTGCCTGGTTGGGAACTTCCTATGTAGGGCACATTACAGCCATCCAGTAGTGAGGTATCTGAACATAGCGTTGAATTGCTATAACATCCAAGTGATGTTCTTGAAGACAACATACAGTAAATTATTGTCTGCTAATTTGATGAATTTTGTAGTTGTGTGGCTTCATGTTTCCAGCTTATAGTGACCCTAAGACAAATCTGTCAAAAGGTTTTCTGGAGCTGAGAACAACTCACCCAAAGTCACGAAGGGGGTTTCCAAGGTAGAGGGGAACTGAACCCTGCTCTCCTGAGTCATAGCCCAATGCTCAAACCACAACACCAAACTGGCTCTCAACTATCAGCTGGCTTGCTGAGTTATCTGCTAAATTTCTCACCTAAGGCCATTCATAATTACATGTCATTACAAGGAATATTCCTCAGTAATGTAGTTCAGTTCAGACTGCAGAATATTACTTAATAAAATTTTAATCAGCCATGTACTATTCAGCTCTGTTCTCACCTATCATATTGAACTGTTAAAACATATAATTCGGCACAAGGGTATGCTGTTTTTCAGAGAAAAGTTCAGCCTAATGGCAATTCTTTCCAAAAATTAAATTCTTCTTGGCTGAACTTGTTGCCCTTCTTATAACAGATTTTCTGATTAGTGATTCATTTCTGCACAGAACTGTCAAGTCATACAGAACTTGGGCAGTAACTATTTGAAAGATAGCATTCTTTCTTTTGATCCTCCCCAGGTTATAAAATAACAAAGTCCCCTTTATCTTTCTTGCCTTTATAAGAAGAATAGTTATTGGGCAATAGACAATAGGCCCTTCTTGTCTATTTCCAGGCACTTGAATGCTCTATATTAGGATCACTACTAGAAGACCTGTGTCGTGAGTAAATAGTATTCAGTCTCCCCTGTCAGTTGAGAAGCAGCTACTTGATCTGTCTGCCCTATCCCATGAGTGATCTCTGGTGTGACAGATAGAAAAAGGACCCCTGACAATAAATCTTTTTCACCCTGGAAATCACACATTTGAGCAGGGAAAAGTCAAGTAGCTGCTCCTCAATTGATCCTTGTCAATTCCAGTAGCTGAGTATTGGTAAGGGGTTTATGGGGGACTTCCACAGTCTTCATGCTATCCCTACATTAGGTGCTATATAAGGATTGTGAATATTTAACTTCCCAGCCAGATTCATGCCTA